CCTTTGGGCGAAGAAAAAATACCCTAGATAGCCAAGTTGCGATCGCTTTTTTCAGTCACTGTTGCGATCGGTTTTGGGGTACGGGTAAAGTTCATGGAGAAAAGCGACCGCAACTGGCGAAGAAAAAACAACACAACACCAAAAGAGCCCCCTCCACGAGCTCTTTGGAATAAACACATGGCTGTGCACCTGTTGGAAAGACTACACTCCCTCAGACGAACATGGAAGCTCTTAGGCCTCTGTAAATGGAACCAAGTCTTGCAAAGGGGTCCTGGGAGCTTGTATGTTAGCCTGGGGGAGGGTACTTGGTACGCTTTCGGCCTGTGTGGTTTCAAAATGTCGCGCGCGCAATTTTGGTTCAGTGAGTTTCTCCTTACCCTGCCCCCTCAACTCCAAGCACCCACCTTTTTTGGGGTATGTCTTTCAAAACCTGGCAACACCAGGGTAAATGCCATAAGCTTGACTCGGACAAAATCTGTGAACCTTGCCCAGCGCACCCCAAGGGGGCCTCCTTATTGGATTGCCTCAAAGCTGAGAGCGCGAAGCTCAAAATGTAATATTACATTTTCAGGTCCCCTCCTTAAGGGGGTGGTGATGTAAATGCCTTCTTTCTTATGTGGGTACTTGGTGTGGGTTATCCTAAAAGGGCACTAATAACAGGGTTTATCCACACACGAGGCATTTTTGAGTAAGACCAACCACCTACTAACCGAGCAGGAAACCCAAGTAAAGGTCCCCTTTTTGTGCCGGGTTTTTTTCGAAGGGGTCTTTGATGGGAACTTTCCACCAGCAAAAAGCGGACATTTCTACCGGTCGGTTTCTTGGGCGAAAGGTTCCCTTTGCACGCGAGGGACGGGGATGAGATCTCGCTTCGAGGCATTCAACTCTGGCAGCCGGAGGACGCCTGGTCCGTGAGCACCGTCGCCTTGCAGGCCTTCAGCGGCCGTGGGGTTGCGAAGCAAGGGGGCTGATTGTTTGTCTTTACTATGTTTTAAGTGTATTCATTGACACCTCCGTGTGCCAACTGATGACATTAACAAATTAAGAAAAAAAGGCTAACATTGTCTTAATTAAGTTGAGATGATTAAATCTCACCCTACCCGTTTTTCCGCGTTACTTTCATTTGCTCAAGAAGATGTTATGTTTTCCCCTGTTGGTTTTAAAGCGAATCAACTTCACTAGGGTGAAACCTAACTGTTTTCATTGTGGCCAGAGGTCCCCAGCAAGGTGATCCTCTTTTGTTTGGTCACAAGATGGCAAGGCAATACGTGTAATTATTCGGATATCACTTTCGGATTAACCCGGATAGAAAAGTGTCACTCCAAAAGATTTATTGTGTTACAATGAATCCCCTTTGGGGAGATAGAAAAAAGGATGCCCAAACAAAACCCATCATGTTCAAGGGACCTATTGAAATGAATAGCCATATGGGTCGAGGAAAACCCACCCCACTCGGACTCCTTGTGGCCTCCCTGTAATACAGCCCAAAAAGCGGGGAGAGGGGGGAGGGGGTACAGACGATCTCCTTTGGGGAGTTATGCAGTTTGTTGGTTCCTGGTTCCATCCTTCAGTTTGCAGTAATGATCCCTTCTAGGAGTGAAAAACACAGCCCATGATTCTTGGTGGAATCGCTACTGCTGACGTGCGGAATCGGATCCCTGAACAGTGTATTGGTTGTCTTTGGGCCTTCCTTTGCTTGGTGGTTCCCAGCCATCCCCTTGGGTTTTAGGTGTTTTTTGGTGTTTAGCTTCCACTTCACCCACTAAAAACCATTTTGTTTAAAGGTAGTTTGAAGGTCCAGCTAGACGGCGTAATTCCCTTTCTGTCGGTTGGAATTTCGTTTGTGAGCTCCGTCAAGCGGCTTCTGTGCGAGGTGTACTACGACCAGGGTGCAGGCACGTGGTTAGAGGCGCATGAGATCGCGGGGCAGGGAGGGCACGAGGATCTGTGGTAAAACGAGCTGACATGTGGGTTTGTGCAAAAAAACGGGAATCAGAAGCCCAAAAGTGGTTGGTTGCCTCCGAGCTTCCCTTGAATTAAGAGACACCCGCAGGGGATTCCGAAAGTTTTTAAGAGTTAGTATGGCGTTCTGCCCCGCATCCCTGGTTTTTTGCTCGTATGTCCTTTCTCGTGCATTCCTTTGTCGCGGGGTCAAGGCAAATCGCACGCAGTATGCTGTTCAGGTGTGTGTTGATGATCCTTGCGCCTGGGATGCCCTTCCGGTGGCACGCAGGACGTTCCGTTTTGTTTAGTGGCTTCCCCACATGAGCTGGCCATCCCCCCTGAAGAAAAGCTTCGTTTGGTGGCTTTCCTCGGGAAACCACGATTAGGGGGGTGGGGTCCCAGGGCAAAAAACCGCCAGACCCACTTGGGTGATGTTGAAACCATTCAAGGGGATGTTTTCTGGCTTTTGGGGTTGCTGAAGCTTGGGAATGATCAAGTTTCCCCTGAGGTCAAGGTGCCTTGGTTCAACTTGTTTTTTGGTTGAACACCTGTCAGGTCAAGCGTCCCTTTGGTGGTTTAGATTTGAATGAAGGAACGTCTAGTTCCTGTTGTCAGTTAGAGTCAGGGTGTTTTTTGGCCAACCACCTAGACATTGGGCTATGACGTAAGGGAGGTACTTGCAAGGGTTAGACTTCGTCAAACCACCTTCTTTTGGCTTCCCTTGAAACAGAACCAGGAGCCTGGTGATTTAAACACATTTGCCCAAACCTGATTACAAGGGCTAAGTCGCCTACAACTTGGCTACTTGTACTCGAGTTAGTCCAAACCCTCATTCCATTGATTATGGAGCGGCTGCGAGTGCCGCTTTTGCTGCCTAGGGCCCCTGAAAGGATGGCTGGGGCTTGCCCGTACCAGCTGAACTCGAGGTTCTTGGGTTGGTCCTTCAAGAGCCCCCCAATTCACAACTTCCAAGTCCTCCAAATAGGCCCACGGGTTTTGCCGGACCTTTTGCTGAAATGTGTCCGGCTCATCGGTTTACTTGCCAGGCGTACACAAGGCTCATTTTGGCCATGGCGAGGTTTTTGTGACCTGAGTCCCCACCTGAATGTCCACGATTTCGGGTGTCCACCACGTCAGGTCCCCGGTTAAAACTAGGTTATCCAAAAGTGCCCTTTCCCTCCGCTTTTTTGGGGGAGGGTTCCCCTACTAAAATAGACTACAGAAAGAAAATCGGGTACCCTTATTCCAACCTTTCTCCTGGAGGACCTAGAAAACAATCACCCCCGCCATTCCCTTCAAAGAACGAAAGCTGGAGTGGCTTGTCGTGGCCGAGCCGCCCTGCTGATTTTCTCACGGCTCAAGTCCGGCTGGGTGATGGGGGTTGCTTGTGTACGTTTTCCAGGCGCCGGGGACCGGGGTTTGGCTTGCTTGCTGCTTTGCCTGGGTCCCCCAGTAGTGCCCTTCTCTCCTCCTTTTTGGGGGAGGGTTCCCTTACTAAAATAGACTACATAAAAAAAAGTTGGTACCCTTATCGGCAACTAGGTCCTCCAGTAGGCTAGAATAATACTCTAACCTACTGGAGGACCTAGTTGCCGTACTTGCCCAAAGCCGACCTTTTCACCTTGTGGTTTCCCTGACATGGCAGCCCTAAATTGTGGATCCACCCCCCTCTTGGATGAGTCAAAGAGTTTAAAGCAGAAAAGCTTCTTCATCGACTCAATGCAGGCATGTCAGACTCCATTGCCATAGACGTCCATTTTGGCCAGTTTGGTTGAACATAGATGGATTCCGCTGGTTTCAGGTTGGCTTGATCCTCATGTGCAAGTGCAGCCCATGCATGTGCAGCCAAACTAGCTGTTCAGTAGCACCCTCCAACCTCTGTGTTTTGGTTCGAAAGCTGAATCGGCCCTCCCAATCCCTTGTTCTGTTCGGGTCACTGGTTGCGTTTTTGAGAGGACACCTAGGCTTCCTGCCCCAAAACGGCGGCTTGAGGGCCGTGGCAGACTCCCCCCCAACACTGTGCCGGTTATCAGCTCTGAGGGGAGGGGGCGACACCTGGACTTCCAGAAAAGGCATTGTCCATTTGTTCATTTCCCATTTATATGGGGGAAGGCTAGGTAATTAAATGGAATCAGCATGCCCCCCCCCCCCGACCCCTCACCCTGTTTAATTATCGGCAGGGGGAGTCATCCACAGCTCTGAGGCCCCAGTTTTCAATCAACCGCGGGGGGTGGTCGGTCGAGATTTGCGCCGCGACAGGCGCTCATCATGCAGGATTCGGGGCAAAGCCGTCGACCCGCCCAACCGGAGGGGTGGTCAGCCAACTTATTTTGCGGCAGATGAAACATACCCCCTACTCCAAATACCCGCTTTTTTCGGGGTATTTTTTGGAAAACCTGGTCTTTCAAGGTAAACACCTCCTTTTTAGTCGAGGGTCGACATGATACCCTGAAAAAAGTGGGTATCGGCTGTAGGGGGTCAAACCCAAAGAACACGTATTGGTCTCTTCTGTTGGATGACCTCCCGTGTTGGCTTCCATGTTAGTTTGCAGGGAAGTAGAAGGTTGGAACAGTCGTTTTTGGGGCACTTGCCCCAGGGCCAGGGACAAGCATATAGGTACTTCAAGCAACTTTCCTTGATGTTGGATTCTGTTCAGTTGCCTAGGCTGCACGGCCAGAAGAGGTTGGGGAGCTTGCAATGCTTGGCTTTACTTTGCTTTGCGTTCTCCGCCCTCCGCCCCCTTCTGTGAGAGCTGGCTGTTTAAGCGAGCATTCAGGCGTTAATTGTTGTTTGCATATATCTTTTTTGGGTTGGCTTTTTGCAGGTTTGGAGAGAGCTGCCGAAAAGAGTGGGTTCTCATGTACTTTTTCTCAGAAGTGCTTGTTACTGCTTTTCAGCTGTTTTCTTCAGGTGGCAAACGCCATCCTTGTAGTGAGACTCTGAGACCCTTCTGTGGATGGACAAAATGCACCACCTGAAAAACATGGTTGAAACCATTGTTTGTGGATTGGCAAAGCCACCATTGTCAGGAGCACTTGGCTTGGAACCGCGTTGCCGGCTCAAGTCCTGGGCCTTTCACGGCTCCCATTTTCCACCGGCAGCTTCTAGTTCCAATCCTCGCCCGCGATGTCGCGTGAGGAGCAGCCGCAGGTGACTCGCCGTTGTTTTGTTTTTTTCGCCTCAGGGACTGTCTCTTCAGATTTGTTTTGGGTGATATGGGGGTGTCTTTTTGAGACAAAGGGAACCCTGCCTGGTTGGATTGAAAGGAAACAAACACTGCTGTTGGCATGTTTTTTTAGGGTGTTAGGTTCTGTTCGTTTTAGGTGAGGGCTGCAACAACGTAACAGTTTTTTGGCTACCAAATCAACAAGGGTTGGAACAACAGGAACGCCACCAGTTTGCGGGTCCCCTCAAAATGGGTTATTGCCAACCAGAGGTCATGGTGGGTGAATTATCTTCCATTTGCTTAAGCAGACTTGTTATTTTCCCCTGTTGGTTTTCAAGGGAATCTATCACTACTGGAGGTCATGGTGGGTATATTATCTTCCATTTGCTTACACAACTGGACATATTTCGTATTTTTTCCCGGGGTCGAAAAACCAAATGGAAGGTCTCCTTTTTGATCGGCTGAGCTGTTTCTTCCCTCAGGCGGGTCGGGGTGCCTCGGGCCGGCTGCCGGTTCTGCTGGGCCGAAAGCAGGAGGCGGTCAGAGAAAGCGAGAGAGAGAGAGAGAGAGACCGCACAGCATCTCGCTCCCTGAGTTCATGGACTTTGTTTTTCTTTTCTCGTTTTCTCTTCTTTTTTTTGAGGGGGGGTGTCTTTTTTTTTGGGGGGGGGGTTGGACCGTTTTAATTATTTTGGCAAACCAAATGTTTGGACTTTTTTATTCCCGGTCCACCCAGGAAGTGAGTGCGTGTGGGCACAGGTGTCCCCGTTTTGGTGTCCCAAGAAACAAACCAAACAAAGGGTACGTACCCTCAAAAGAAGAAAGACATGCAAATGATCTTCCAAAACCGGTGCAACCTCGTGAACGTTTTTAGGGTGTCTTTTTTGAAGACCCATAATATAACATGGGTGGGTTTTCCTTTTTGTTTTCCCGTAAAACTAGGGGTACCTCAAAAAGAAGACATGTTCCTTTGAACCGGTACCCAAACAAAAAGACAAACCCACCAAAAGCTACAAAAAGCCGGTCATAGGTGTTTTTTGTTTTGCTTTGGTAGACAAAATGTGATTCCTGGATGACCTGGTTGCGTCAATCTCCAGGGCCGTCTATTTCCCAAAAGGACACCTATGGCTGGTATCATGTTCACTGACTAAAGCAGGAGGCATTTCTCCGGAAACCAGGTCCGGGAATGGCACCTGGGCTTCTCAGAATCAATGACCCCGAATGGCTGTGGGTTTCTGTCCCAGGTTTCCTAGCCAACCTGACACATGGTTCCCTCACACTGTGGATTCACGAAATCCATTTCGCACCACAGAATCTCAGGTTGATGACTCCCATGTAAATTCCAACAAACCTTATGATTTGAAGCATGGGTTCCTTTCGTGGTGCGAGAAGCGGATTTCGCCACGGAGCGTCGCAGGTATCTTTCGGCTTGAGTTTTCTGCTGGGGCTCACTAAGCACGCTTCGCGCAGGTTTCTTGTTTGTTCCCAGTAAGGAGTCACGGGTTTTGAGAATGAACCCAAGGATCTCCGAAAGGAAACCCCTAGGTGGATAGTTGACACTTGGACCCCCAAGCTACTCATCGGATATTGCTCAAAAATATGCAGGGTTTCCTCCATTTCCCTGTCTGGAACCTCCCAAAGTGGCAGTTTCAAGGGACACCACCAGTAAATTGCAATTTCTGAAGGGGAAATCCAGTGACCCATCTTCTTCCCCAGAATTTGCTCCCCCCTTTTTTTTTGTTTCTTCTTTTCTTGGGGTCCCTAGTTTTTTGTTTTTTTTACTGGGGTAATTCGAGCTTAGTTTGAGGGTCCGGGGTCATTCCCTCGTCTGCTGACTGACCTGCGAGGCAGCGGCGGAAGATTTGGAAGCCGACAAGGCCGAGGCTGCTGAGGCTGGCACGGTTCAGCGAGCTTGTGTTTTCCCTTTGTTGTGCTTATTTTAGCACGGTTTAAGCAATGTAACAACATTCTTTACATGGGTTGCATTTTTTCATTTTGAGTTTGTAAATGAAATCATGGCTTTAGAAGATCATAAGCGTTAGATTGAAAACATGTGTAGGCATGCAGCTAGACATAGCTAGACCGCTGGGGAGCTTTTTCTGGGCCAAATCGTGGAACAGGGGAGTTGTGTTTGTGTAGTTTATGTCTGTTTATTTACATGTTTTAGAAAAAAACAATGTCATGCAACATTTTTGGACTTGTATGAACCATGCGTGGGGTAATTAGCAAAGCCAGCCTTAGGGGCTATATGCATCCCCCTCGATGCATGACAAATGGCCCTTCTAGGCTTAGAACCTGTGGCCTAAGGCAAGTGGGAGGCCAACCGGATTGGACCTGGCTATGATTCAACCACGGAAATCCAGCGGGGCAAAACACGGCAACACACCCAGCGCCAGCCAGTTGCCCGTGGCTCAGGTGACGGGGGCGTCAAGAGAACCCTCCCACATCGAGCACCTTGGCCAGCGGATCTATCCAGAAAGCCGCCGGAGACGAAGGGCCTTTGGATGAAACCTGGCCCCGTAACCTCCAGATGCCCACGTTTTCTAGGGTATTTTTTTAACAACCGATCGGGTTTCCATGGTAAATTCCGTTTGTGGTAGAGGGCCGACATCATACCCTGAAAAAAGGCCAGGTGTTGGGTGTAGGGGGCAGAGACGCTTTGAAGCTGATAGGTCCTCCTGGCCGCATTTTGCAAACAGAAAAAGACGCTCCAACTTCAACCACTCGCTGCGAGCTCGATCGCTCGCTCGATCCGTTCGGAAATTCAATCAAGCCCTCTTTTGGCTTAGTTTGGTGGTTTGTTTTATAGTTAGGTACCGGCTTAGATAGGCTATATAAGCCATTCAGGGCAATTCATTTTATCCAAAAAGATTAAGTGTCTGTTTCCATGTCTTGGTTTAAGGCTATCCCTCCCTTCGTTGGTTTTTCGGGGGTGAGCTCGCGTGCGCTGGCTCGCTGGAGCGCTCGGTTCGCGCGAGCGCCATAAGATATTTTTTTTGGGGTGGTTTGGTTGAACGATAGAGGACGATTCCTGGTTTACCTGGCGGTTCCATGTATTTTCCAGGGAAACCCATCGACTTTCCATCAAAAAGGACACCTATGCCTTACTGGGGATGGACGAAATGGTTGAGACCATTGTTGAAACCACTGTTGAAACCATTTTCTTACCTCTCAAAAACACAACTTTTCTCAACTTGTTGGGTAGCATGGGCTATATGTCTGTAAAAGATGTTCACTTCCCCAGGGAGTTGGGAGTTTTGAGGGGCAAGTATTTTTTTTTTGGCGGCTCATCTATTTCCCCCCCCCCCCCAAAAGAAAGGGCTCCTCTGGAGCGCGGGAGCTCCAGGCACAGCAGCCTGGACGTCTTGGCGGAGACCTCCTGGGCCGAGAAGCTGAGCCTGGCCTGCGGGGCCTTCCTCGCCCTGCTGCAGGAAACGGCCCCAAATCGGCCCGAAGTCGGCCGAAATCGGCCCGAAATCGGTGTGTTCCCATCCAAAAAACCCCTACACCCAACACCTGGCCTTTTTTCAGGGTATGATGTCTGTCCTCTACTCCAAAAGGAGGTATTTACCTTGGAAAACCAGGAACCTGCCCACCCAAAAATGGGCGGGCTCGGGGTTCTTAGAGTCCTAGGTGCCCAGCTAGGTGTCCTTTTTGACCATTTTTTTTGGTTGGGAGGGTTCCCTTACCAAAATAGACTACAGGAAAAAGGGTACCCTTCTTCCTCTCTACTGGAGAGAGAAGCTCCCAAGATGTCCCATGGTCGGTTTTCGACATGTCTTGTCAAGTTAGATGGTGGGCTTCTTTCGGGTCAAAGTGATGGGTCCTTACAATTCCCTTGTTGGTGGGTTTTAAAAGCATGACCTGTCTTGCCCATGGGCAAGCTTCCCTTCACTCATGTTTGCAGGGGAAATATAGGGAGCCTGGTCCCACCAAAATAAGCTCTTTCTAAAGAACCTTCTTTTCTTTATGGCGATGTGGCAACGGACAAATCCAGATCCCTTTATGGCTATCTTCCATTTGCTGAAATGAAGATTTGTTTTGTTTCCACCATTGGCGCAAGTTGTTCTTTTGTTACTTCCATTTGCTTAAGACTTTGTTTCATTTTCCCCTGGCTTTAAAGGGAATCTATCACTACTGGAAATTTGCTTTCCCGGGGGACCTACTTGAAGGGGCAGGGTACTTAGCAAGTGGTTAGTAAGCCTGGTTATGACTCAAGTAGGAGACTTGTAACTATGGTAAGTGGGTTACCATGGTTATTATCCACTTAGTAAGTGCCCCTTGCGGTTAAAGGGACACCCAACCAAAACAAAAACAATCAGTTCGATGTCGTGTGGCGGAGTGTTTTGACCCTCGCATTTGGAGAGGAAACTAAGGCCTGACGACCCCCCCCCCAAAAAAAAAAAAAAACAGCGCAGGGGTGCCTGGAAGGATCCCAGCTGGGGCCAGTTTCAACAACAGCTTCTCCGGCGGCTGATGTTTCCATTCGGATCCGAGTCCGAATGCAGGTGCCCTATGCTTCCAAAGCCTATTTAAAAAATAGTCGTTGTGACAACCCCGGTTTTTTGATAAAGACTATTTTTTGATGACGAGCGGCAGCCTCCGTTTTGGACTGGAACAGGGACTAGGAAAGACTTGATGCTAAGGCCGCCTCATAGGATCCCAAAGCCGAATATGTATTTTCATATGCAGCAATATGTGCTACAATCTTCAAGGCTAGTTGCTTCCATTTTGCTTGGTTTCTTAACATGGCCATGTAACGCGTGCGGGTGAATCCTCTTCTGACCGTTTCTGTCCTTCTTTTGCCCCACCTTCTCAGCCAAACCAAACAAACCGGGACAGCAAAAATCTTTACCCATCACGGCAACCATTCCAGGATGAGAATGTTGATCTTCTGGGTCCCCTGCAAATTTTGCCCGTTCTACGCCAAAAATAGTGGTTCTACGCCAAAACATGGTGGTTCTACGGTTTTTCTACGCTTTGTCTACGGTTTGTCTACGCTCACGTCGTTTTTGGAGCTGTGTGAAAATTGGAGCGGAAAACACAAGCACACAATTGCTTGTTGTTTGTGCCACCTGCGCAAATTGCAGAGGACAATTCTAGAATTTGCTAGAATGAAGGCTCCGTCTACGCAAGACTTTCAGCAGGTGCATTGCGCAAACACGAAAGGGCGCCGAGGACCCTATCAATAAATAGTAATCTACTGGCTCCCAAGGCCTCTTAGGAGGTTGCAATAGCAGGCGTAATTTCGATAAAAACAAAGTAACAACCCAAAATGGACCCCAAAGGCCAATGTCAAAAAATAGGGGTTGTCAATGCAAAAAATAGGGGTTGAACAACCCCTATTTAAAAAATAGTCGAGGAAGCATAGGGGGTGGTTGTTTGATGCGTCCTGAAAAATCCTGCGTTTCTTTCGAAGTGAAGTGGTTCTGTACAAAGGGAAGCGTGCACTTCCTGAAATCGCAAGGGTTTAACTTCACCGTTGTTGGCATGGTTTTTTTTTTCTCCGGTTCTGTCCATTTTTGGTGGGCTGCAGAAAGCGATCAGAATATGTTTTGCTGCCAGATGGGTTGTAGAGTTGAAGGGCACCCCGTACTCAAAATACTAGTTTTTTCAGGGTATGTTTGGGAAACCTGGTTTTCCATGGTAAAACCTTCTTTTTTAGTAGAGGGTCGACATGATACCAACTGAAAAATAAAAGTATTTGGAGGGTTTAGACCATGAGATTCATCCAACCGGCTGCTTTACAAGGGGATAAGTCCAAAGGCGACTCGCTGCTTAACTTTGACTTTGACTTTACAATGGTAGTCTGAGTTGCTTTGTTCTTCAAATTTCCAGCTGTGGCCAGGGCATCTCCTCGCCGCTGATCGCCATCTTCACCGCTGCGGCTCGTCTTTGGGTTGGTATGGCTCAGGGCCCACGATCTCAGAGCACGTGGGTGCAGCTTGAGATAGGGGAGCCCCGAAAATGGCGAGTGTCCTTCAGTGGTTTTTCCTTCTTTCTTTCTTTTTTTTCCTTCTGCCGCATCCAAAAAGTGGGTTCTCCCAAAAATATGGCTTTGTTTGAACTCCATGTGTCGAGAATGGGGTGTTGCATATAATTGTCACCCTTTCCGTCTAAGAAGCCAGCAAAACAGTTGACATTCAGTTGTTTGTGAAATCGCAATTTCCTGGATCCGGAATTTCATGTAGAACCTCAAGGGGAATGGCTTTGGGGGGGTTCCGATTTCTATGGGACAAGCGCAGGGTTTGCAGCATTTTCATAAAGGAGGGTGGTCGAGGGAGCGCGATTTCCTTTGGGAACCCTGGGGAATTTCTCGGGAGATCCCTAAGGAACCCGCCTTCGGGGGTCTCAACTACCCGCCCTCCTCAAAGTACCCCCACAGATTCCCAGCCAGCCGGTCCCTTCGGTTTTGAGTTGAGTTTTTATAGTTGTAGCGTTCTCCCCTGGAACAACTGGGGCTGGTTTTGGTTTTGATTTTCTAGTTGGTTTAGTGGCAACTTCCCCCCGCGAAACACACAACCGGGAGGGATTCCAGAATTTTTCGCTCAGGACAGCATCACCACGCTCACCACCACCGAGCCCTCACTGCTCCTCGACACCATGACGGACCCCCTCATCAAAATCGGCCTGGCCCTCGGCCGGAAAAACGCGTGCGCCGTCGGGCCTTCGGCTGGCAGAAGCTTCGAATACCCCAGCTTTCTTCAGTGTATCATGTCGGCCCTCTACTAAAAAAGTGATCGGTATTTACCATGGAAAGCCAGGTTTTCAACCAAGAATACCAACTGACAAAAGCGCGTATATTTTTATTACGGGGTATGGCGTCAAAGTTTTTTTGTTTGGTGTCTCGTTTGTGCACAGACAGGTGTCTACATATGTGCACGCACAATCACCTCACCCAGGTGCCCGCTTCGTTCTTGTTTGTCGGACAGGGTTTTCACACACGTCTTGTCCAAAGCGAATGCACCGTTTGACCTTTGGGTTTTTGTAGTTCGGGTTCCCACTTTTAGTTATGGCTCTCAAGGTGCAGTTTTTACCCCCTTGCATCCTTTCAACCTTCAAGTTTGAAAGAACTGAGGCACCAACAGAGAAAGCTACGTGGGCCAGTGTGGGCCGAAGGGAGATCCAAACAGACCCAGTAGATAATCTGCATCTTTTATGGAGCATGTGCTATCCCTTTGGCTCCGTGATTGCCCGAAGGGCAGGGTACTTAGTAAGTGGTTAGTAAGCCTGGCTATAGCCCAACTAGGAGACTTATAAGTTGTAGCCATGGCTAGAATCCACGTAGTAAGTACTCTGCCCCTTTAGGTGATTCCTTGGCTTCCCTTTCCTGTACCGTCAGCCAGGGTTCCATACATCCACTTGATTTGCAGTACATCAGCTAAAGGCGATCTTTAAACCAGCCCCAGATGGCCTTTACTTGCGATCGGTGCTATCTGGGGCTCTGCGAAATGGGGTGACGAAGGCCATCCATCCGATTCAGTTTCCTTTGAGGAATCTCGAAATCCTCGAAGACCATTCCGCGCCACATTCCCTACTGATTGCACCGATCGCAAGTGCAAACCCTCCCACCCCTCCACCCCCCAACCCCCCAACCCCCCAACCCCCCGACCCCCCAGCCCACCCCCCAGCCCCCCAGCCTCCACCCCCCACCCCCCCCCCAGCAAGCTTAGAGGGCTCCAGGTTCTTCACGCCGCCCACTTCGAGAAAAAACAAAAAGGAACAAACAAAAACCAACAAAAAAGACAACACACACACACACAAAAAAAAAGAAAGTCGCAGCCCGCTTCGGGTTTTTGCCACCTGCCCGGGCCTTGGTCTTCGGCGCTTCGGCGCACCCCGATCGACGCTGAAGTCGCGCCGAGGCCTGCTGGCGATGGCTCAGTTCCTGCTGGGCTGGGCCTGGAATTGGCTCCTGGGCTGGGCGGCGGCGAAGCAGGCGGGGGGCGGGGTCAAAGGAATTCCCACGTGAGGAAAACCCGGCACACGAAAAAAACACGTCCCCGGCACATGTGCCCCGAAAAAAGAAAAAAGAGAAATGCAAAAGGAAACAAACGTCCCCGGGCACATGACCCCCCGCAGCTTTTTTTGGCTGCTACCTGGTTTTCCAGCAAGGCCCAACGAATTATTTTCCGGGCGACTTTTGCATCAAACTCTGGGCTAGTGGGGTTCCAGTGGCTGGAAAAAGTGGCTACTTGGCCGCTTCCCCTGAATGTTGACCCCATATGAATCAACCCTCGTTTATTATGTAGGGGGGTGCTTCCCCCTGGGCGAAATGTGGCCCCGGAGCCATCACTGATCACTGTTGATGGGGTTCACTAATCTGGTGTCAACCATAGTTGGTGGCTTGGAGCCCGCTAGTTTGGTCTTCCAGAAAAACAAAAATCCTTTTGGGTGTCCTTTTGGTGTCCTGTGAAAACCAATCCACCCCCCCCCAAAAAAAGGGGCCACCCCCCCAAAATGCTCCTTGGTTCACTGTTCCGGGCTCGCGGCTCGCACCCAGCTTAGCCGCATGAAGGAAGCGTATCGCAGGAAGTCGCAAAAAAAGATCAGTCACGCAAGCATACACATACACCCTACCCCCAAATCCCCAGCTTTTTTTCTATTGATGTTTGTGTTTTTTTCTTTTCTTCGGGGTATGGAAGGGTATGATGGCAAACTTTGAGTAAAGCAGGGAACAACGTTCACAATGTACCCTGAACAAGCGCGTATTTGGAGTAGGGGGTGTACCCCTACCCCAAAGAAGATACAGGCTGTTTTTAGGGTACGGTATCATGTCACCCCTTTACTAAAAGATGGAGTATTTACCATAGAAACCAAGTTTTCCATAGTTTTTGTCCAAAGTACAAGCTAAAAACAGTTGGTATTTGGAGTAAGGGCTATCCACATGCACACACACATAAATGTATACATATATATATATATATAATACGCGTAAAACACACATATATATATATATATAAATAGACCTGACCGATCGCCAGGCGTTCAGGTGGCAGATCAAGTACCTCAAGTCCCTGCTCTCCTTGGACGTGCCCTGGTATGACGCCCACGAGCCCGCAGGACGGAGGGTCATTCAAGTAACCTTTCCTAGGTCCCCCAGTGCCCTTTTACCCTTTCTTGGGGGGAGGGTTTTTGTACTACGTGGCTTGTCCGAAACTGTATCACAAAAGCGGGTTCCATTTCCCACAGCCCCGTTCAGGGAACCTCTCCACTATTCAATGGAAGGCCATTGCAATGAATTGATGAAGGGTTTGACTGAACAGCCCAGTGGCAGAAGCAATTGCCCATTCAGACGATTTTGGCCAAGGCAGGGCTCTTGGCCCAGTGGCAGAAGCAATTGCCCATTCAGAGGCTGTGGCGGATCGGTGGGGACCGGTCGGCCTATCGAGACTGCGCATACCCTGCACCGTCCTCATTTGCAGCAAGCCGTCCTCGAGCTGGTGAATGTAGCCTTGGCATGGCATGGTCCAAATGAAACCTGGGGACGCCACCTTGCAGCCCCGGACCTTTCTGTTTAGGGTTTCTTTCCTGGGCCTCTGATTCGAGTTCGTAAGTGGTGACGGAAACCTCGGGCAAACGTCCGATGTGGGGTCAACCCCGCTGTGCGGGTTAGAACCCAAGTGGCGCTGTCCACTTTCTTGGCAACGGACGTCGAATGTGAACCCCAGCTTATTACCCCCGGGCCCCCTTTTAGCAAGGATCGTCTGTTGGAGGGTTCTACTTGGAATTCAGGGTCAAGATGAAGGCAAAAGGTTAGAAAGGCAATGATGAGGGGAACCCTGCCAAAACAAGTGGCGTGCAACAACTCCAGGGCATACCCCCCCCTACTCCAAACACCCGCTTTTTCCAGTCGGTATGTTGGGGAAAACCGATCGGTTTTCCATGATAAATACCGAACCTTTCTTAGTAGAGGGTCGAGATCATACCCTGAAAAATGGCCGGGTATTGGGTGTAGGGGGTTTTCACCCTCATCTTGGTGGTTCCCAGCCATTTCCTTAGCTTAGCCATGTGGGGATTTCCGTATTTAAGCCACTAAAAGTTAGTCACTTTTAGCGGGGGATCTGAGGACAGCCCAGTAAAGAAACACTCGAATTCAATTGGACCCCCAAAGGACCCCTTTTTTCACATTTTTTTTGGGTCAAAGGCAGAAAAAAGGGGTCCTTTGGGGGCCAAAAACTTGCCACGTCAGGACTCGCCGCGCGGCTCGAGGGCGAGATCGCCGCCGGAAAGCCCAGAGTCGTGCGTACGGCGGTCGGTCTGGAGCGCCGGGCGGGGAAACCCTCAGACTTCGCTTGAAAACGGGAATTCATCCCATGACCAATCCGGGGCAATGCCGGATTCTTATTCTGGACTGCTATTGGGTAACGGATCTTTAACTTTTTGGTTGAAATCAAGTTGGATTTTCCACCAAAATAAACAAAAGCAGGTGAAACTTTTGCAGGTTGGTCAACAGCAACCAAGTAATCCCATGATGTTTCAGGGTCGTTTCAGGGGTCTCGATGGGGTTCCGACTGCCCGACGGAGGGCGGCTCGGGCCGTGGGGAGGCTGGGCATACCACTCCAACGGAACTTGGCTACCACTAGGTCCCCCAGCAGCGCGCTTTTTACCCCTTTTTTGGGGGGAGATTCGGTTCCCCTAAAATAGACTACAGAAAAAGGGTATCCTTATTCTGACATCTCTACTGGAGGACCTAGCTATGTTGGCAACAACTTGTTAAACAAATACTTAACCCTGAAACTACCTCATTAATAATAATTATAATAATAATAATACTACTAATAATAAAAAGAACAGACAACGGTGCCTACAAAAGCTCCAGCGACCTTTAAGCCTCCCAGTTTTTTTCTTTGGGGGGGAGATGGGTTATCTGGTGTGGCTCTTACCCCCGGAAGCTCCAAACAGTCACTTTTTCAGGGTATGTTGTTTGGTAAAATCTCGTTTGTTCATGGTAAAATATGTTTTTTGTTTTTGTCTGAGTAAAGGGTTGACATGATACCCTTAAACAAGTGAGTATTTGAGCCCAAACAAGTGGCTCTGACTCGCCGACTCATCGCCCTGACTCCCGAGTCCGTCTACATCTTCCAGTCCGCAGCGCTGGGGTACCTCATCGCCTCCATTGGGCAATTCGTGTCCGGCATCGTGGTGGAGCCTCGGAACGCGCAAAGCGAGAAGCGAAGGTTCGGTTCGGGTCGGCGCGGTTTTGGGGCTAGGTCCCCCAGCTAGGTTCCCTTGTTAACCCCTTTTTTTGGGGGAGATTCGGTTCCCCTAAAATAGACTACAGAAAAAAGGGGTACCCTCATTCTAACCTCTCTACTGGAGGCCTAGGGGGGAATGGTGGCCCTGGTGGGGGTGAAGCCACCCAAAGCAAAGTTCACCACCCAGGAAAAAAAGGCTCGGATCGTACTTGCTTTTTCAACTTAGAGGAGGCTTCAAACCTTGGACTAGTTTCAGGCCAGATTCTCGTTGGGGTGATGTGTTGTTTCTTGGTCAGAAAGTCACAAGTAGGTTCCACCGCTATGCGGCATCTTTTCCCAGGGCCAAGAAGCACTGAAATGAAGGAGCAAGTAGCCCTTGGGCCCAAAGCACATGGGCATCAACCTGTTCGCCTTTGTTTCCAGGTCCAAGGGCAAGTAAGTGGTAAGACCAAACAACGCGAAGCGCTGGTAAAGCACTGCAGTATCTTTGGCTGATTGTGATCGGGGGGTGTCCAACAGCGATGAATGGGAATCCGGATCGCTGCGGTCCCCCCTATTAAGAAAACGGATAGGTTCTACTTAAATCCGGGTCAACATTGCGGATTACGTTTCCTTGCTTCTTAGCTTAGGTCGCTTACCTTTACCCCCTATACCAACTACCCGCTGTTTTTAGGGTAGCCTGGTTTGCCAAGGCAAGTTCCTGAAGGCTTGACCCGATACCAACTCAAAAGAAGTGAGAGGGGGTCCTTTTGCTTTTGGAGTACGGAGTTGACCTACCCTAAGGTGGGTGGTTACTGGGGGTCCTTTTGAAGTAAAGGATTGACCTACCCTACAAAAAGGTGGGCTCAAAAAAGTGGGAGGTGGTTTACGGGGGGTCCTTTTGGACCTACCCTAAGCCTAAGGGGGGGATTGGGTTTTTTGTTACAGGGTAGGTTTTACCATGGTGTCCTCCTCCCCACGTTGGCTCGCTCGCAGTCACCAGCAACACCCCCAGCAACCACGGAGAGGTTAAATGAACGCCCCCTTCCCTCCCCAGCAACACCCCAGCATCACCCCTTTGTGGTCATCAAACTCGGGGGGCGACACCCCCAGTCACCACACCCCTAGCAACGCTTTGTGATCCTTCAAGCGAGGCTTTTGTGAACAGCTGGCAGCTCACGCTCATCGTGTGCGGCGTGGCGCCTTTCTTGGTGCTGGCCGGGAACCGCCTCGGCAAGGCGTGGGGAAGATCTTTTTTGGCTCCCCCAGTAGTGCGCTTTTACCCTTTTTTGGGGGGAGGGTTCCCCTACTAAAATAGACCACAGGCAAAAAGGGTACCCGTATTCTATCCTCTTAACTGAAGGACCATTTTTTTCTTCTTAGTTTGGTCCAGTTTTAGTCATAACCCCAACAGGTGCTCAACGGTGATGTCCAGCTCCAAACTGGGCAACTGAGAAGAAGCCATCCAGCCATCCAGCCATTCTAGGGATACCTCCTTTCTACAAAACCACCCGAAACATTGGGGAAACAGCTGGCTGCTGAAAGAAAGATGGTTCAAAAAGAATGGAAAAGGAATCAACCCCTACAATCTTGTCCAGTGCCATCCAGCCATGGGAGTTGCATCGGCCATGGAGTTCCATGCGCATCCCCAAGCGGGTGGTTGGCTCCAGGTTTTTCACTCGAAAGCCCAAATAGATCTGGCGATCAGTGCGCTAGGGAAGGAGAAATGGAATGAACCGTTTTGGGAGTCCGCAACAAAGGAAACCATACGGGATGGTTTGTGGGGACAATTCCCTCATTCCCTGAGCACCAGCAAGATTGCTTTTCAATTGTGTTTCCCTTCCAGACCTCTGAGAAGAATATGAAGGGGGCCAAACCGTTTTTTCCCTTCCAGGCCTCTGGAGAACAATGTAAGGGGGGACAAAACGTTTCAGACCCTCTGAGCATAGGAAGGGGGACAATGCTTTTTTTTCCAGACCTCTGAAAAGAAGTCGCATTTGTTGTTTGGCAGCCCGAATCGTCACTCCACTGCTGTTGGCACGTTTTTAGTAAAATGGTTCTGTTCAATGCTTATTTTGTGCTACCGTACCGTTTGGGTTGGAAAGGATCTAGGGGTTGATTCCCCAGTGTTTTCAACCATCGTTCTTTTCAAAAACCAGCTGTTTCCCAAGGGTTTCGGGTGGTTTTTTAGAAAGAAGGATGCCTGGAAAGAATGGGGAAGCTACCCCTAGAAAGGAACTGAACAGCTGTCAGGAGGTGGCGCGCCAGTTCGAGGTGCAGCAAGCGGACTTCGCCCGCGCGCCCCTCTGCCCCAAAGGTTCACGAGGTGTCTCATGGTACCAGTCTGGGGTGTTTTTTGAGCACAGGGACAGCCATCCATTTTTAGGGCCACCTAATTTTGAGACAAACCCACTTTTTATTTATTTATTTATTTATTTGTTTGTTGGTTTGGTGGCTTTAATGTTCACTCCCTCGTCCAAAGCAAATCCTATTGTCACAGAACCCACAGTTTCTGTTTGTTTGTTTTTTCAGCCAAGGCGTTTGCATACAGCCTCCGCCATTTTTTCGTGGTGATTCAGGCCCTAGTTTGATCCGGACAACCGTCATGAGCAAATTAAATGTTTCAAAGGAAGATCAAGGTCAATAAACTTTTGTGCAGGCTTTTTCCTACATGTGCACATAACGTCATTTTATGGGCATGCAAGTAGGCATGTAAGTAGATACAAACATAACTACATACACATGTACACATATATGTATACATACATATATGCCCGTACATACATACATACATACATGCATGCATGCATGCATGCATGCATGCATGCATGCAGACAGACAGACAGACAGACAGACAGACAGACAGACAGACAGACAGACAGACAGACAGACAGACAGACAGACAGACAGACAGACAGACAGACAGACAGACAGACAGACAGACAGACAGACAGACAGACAGACAGACAGACAGACAGACAGACAGACAGACAGACAGACAGACAGACAGACAGACAGACAGACAGACAGACAGACAGACAGACAGACAGACAGACAGACAGACAGACAGACAGACAGACAGACAGACAGACAGACAGACAGACAGACAGACAGACAGACAGACAGACAGACAGACAGACAGACAGACAGACAGACAGACAGACAGACAGACAGACAGACAGACAGACAGACAGACAGACAGACAGACAGACAGACAGACAGACAGACAGACAGACAGACAGACAGACAGACAGACAGACAGACAGACAGACAGACAGACAGACAGACATACACACGTACGTACGTACGTACGTACGTACGTACCAACGTACGTACGAACGTACGTACTACGTACATACGTACACACGTACATACATACATACATACATACATACATACATACATACATACATACATACATACATACATACATACATACATACATACATACATACATACATACATACATACATACATACATACATACATACATACATACATACATACATACATACATACATACATACATACATACGTAAGCGCAGAATATACCTCCTTAAACATATTGTGCGAGTATGTATGTATGTATACCTACAAGCAAAATACATGCGCAGGCTCGTTTGCGGCCTGCTTCAGCCCCTCACCGCCATGGCTCGTCCGCGCGCGGCTCGATTCGTCGATAGGTCCGGTGTGGCGGAGGAGGCGCTCATGGCCATCCGTGCCTCGGGTGGCATTTTGTTATCTCCCGAGTCGTCAACCCCCAAGTTCCGACTTTTTTCGAGGGCCACTCCACTGTTGGCACGTTTTTCGTAAAATGGGTCTGTTCGATGCTGATTGGCTGCAAAAAGCGCGCCTTTTTGCTACCCAGAGGCTCCTGGGGCTAGTGGAAGACCCGACCCCATTACACACCCCGGGAATTGGTAGTTGGGACCCGGTCTCAAAACCAGGTGGTTTGAAGGCCCTAAATCGGGAGCCTCTGGGCCTAGCAAAAGCCTGGTTGGTTGCTTTAAAATCCAAAAAAAGCGGGGGGAAGTGGGTGGTAGTTACCTTGCAAAAAGCTGGTTTGTTGCTTAAACTCCCTCAATCTCAACTGCTGCCTAGGTGCTAGGGGCCCTTTTCTATCCCCTTTCTTGGTTGGGAGGGTAAACAGACGACCGAGAAAAAAAAAAAGTAAAAAAGTACCCGTATTCAAATTAACCCCAAAAAAGCGTTTTTTTGGAGTAGAGGTGCCATGGTCCAAAGACCGGTTTCTTTGCCTGGGGTTGAGAGAAACGTCCCGCTGGTAAGGATCCTTAGCAATCATTCTGACTCTAAACAGGTTTCGACCATGGCTTATTCGTTCGAAAGCGAATCGACCTTTGACCTTGTCGTTGCTCCATTTTCGTCAGACCCATGGGCTTGGGGAAATCTCCGTGGTCAGGGTTGGCTCGTTCCTTGCCGGCACTTCATGGTCCACGTTCACCTTTTAAGGCCCAGCAGAAAACGTCCGTTTACCTTCCGCCCCAAGCAAATCCAGCATCCCATCATGCCTCTCGACATCAAAGCAACACCTCACGCACCGCGGACAAGTGGAAGCTCTGGTTGCTTTCAGAGGGGGAATTTGGTTTTGCCCATGGGCCTCGGGGCCAAGTAGTGGTGTGCCATTCGGGACATGTTGACTATGATGATGTTATAATATGGTATAGAAACAATGTAAAAAAATCCTCATGGTTCAACGTTAAAGGACTTCACTCGCATATCAGAGGCTGGTACTAAAGTTATGTTGGTGAGCCCTACTGGGCTTTCCAATTTGAGCACATGAGGTTGACTGACTTGAAGGGGGCCATACCATTGAGACCCACGAGGAAACCCTCACCTCCAATCCCCAAGGTTCCTTGCCCCCAGTAAAAGACTGGCAAGGACCCAATTTGGATGAAAATCCTTAGGTAAATAATGGTGGTTATATATATGTGGCTCAAAATTTAAGAGCTCGGGTTACGCAGGGTTTGGTCTTTCTTTCCATTCACCTAGGGCCGCGGTGGCCCCCCGCGGTGCCTTCCGCAGCCGCGAACTCACTTCCTGAGTTGGTGGACTTTAAACTTTTTGGAAAGACCATTTTAGTGGTAAATATAAAAAAGTTCCAGGACTTTTTTTGGGCCAGTCAACTTGGGAAGTGAGCGAAGGCACCGTGGCGGCCTTCGGGGGCGAGAAGCAGACGCTGCACCGCTTCGAGTCCGCGCTGACCTCCGCCCGCTCCGAGGGCGTGCGCTGCTCGGCGCTTTTCGACCGGCTCTTTCGACCGGAGCGGAGGGTCCCCCGGTGGCTGTTAAGAAATCCAGGCCGCACCTCCGGAATCAGAAACCCTGGAAGGGAGGATTCCCCTATAAACACCAACAAAACATGGTTTCAACCAGTACCATGGTTGTTGTTGGGAAACATTTTACATATTCTTGCTTGTTGTGGTTTAGTGGTGGAAATCCAACCACTGAACAGCTTTTTTTTTTTGCTTCCCCTTCCAACGCCAAGCTTAGGCCTCTGGATTTCTACGGAGAAAAAGCCGAGAAGAAGGGAGCGAACCAAGGCAAGTTATGTAATTACACCACCTCCGCTTAAGAACATTTTGGCAAGCATATACGTATGTATATATATATATAGGTAGATGTGTATTAATGTGTCGAGGGAGAAATATGTATAAACATATGTTTTAGGTTGACTGGATCTGCATCGGAATCTGGGGCAGGCTTTCCACTGCATTTCCCTCACCCAGTGTCTACCAGATCTTGGGCAAGCAACTCGGTGACCCTTCGATTCAATTTCCTTGTGGCGTTTAAAGGGGTCTTCAAACCAAAGCCATGTATTTCAGGGTAGACGCCATTATCAATCAGAATCCGAAAACATGCAGCACCCAAGGAAAGTTGTTATGCAAACCGTTTTTTTTTTTTACAATTGCATATGTATGATGATGCAAATGTATATGTTGTATCTTTCTAGGTTGGCCCAGCAAGAAGCAGAGTCTCAACACCCCAAAAGTCATGTTTTGAGGACCCCCCCCCCCCCCCTGACAAAATGATTCGACCCCCTTAAATTCTACTTTCATTTCTTTGCTGTTCGGAACCAGCGAATCGCCCAGTTCAAAGTAGGTTTCTAGTTGTTTTAGTTGGTTCAGAGGGGGCTTCCATGGCAGCTTCCATTTAACCTACTGAAAGTTATACTTTTAGCTGGGGATCTGAGGAGGGTAACGCCCAGATCAGATTGCCCTTGGGTGCTTGAACTGGGACAAGTCAGAGGCCCAACCCACCCCTTTTCAGGCCCCCTGCACGGTGCTTCAACCTGCTTGAGCCATGTTTGAGGTTTGTTTCCCTTCTCTTGGTGATTTGTTGACTTATGTATAGCCCTTTGGCAGGGTCGAGGGCTCAGACCCTCCAAAGAATACACCTAGTTTGCTCCCATTGTCAAGATCCCTCACCCAACCTGTTGCCTATATTGGCCATTGGTTGCTTCAATCATTTGGTGCTCAATCCGCCCTCTTGCGCTCACTTTGCTCGCGGAAATAGACTTGCAGCCTCGAACCTCTGCGCGGAGGCCTCTTGCCACCGGCACTCCACAGCATATCACTTCGCCCCGAAAAGGGGTCTGGATCCGGAAGCTTCCAGATCAAAAGCGTGGCGGCCGGGCAAGGCCCGGCCGGTGCAGGGGACAAGCAGCGAGTGTGCCATTGCGAACACCTATGCAAAGCTCCAGCTAGTAGATCCTGAGAATAAACTTGAAGAACAGATGCTCGGTAGAATCAACCTGGCCGTTTTGTTCACATGGTCTATGTTGGTTTTCGGGCGTGTGGTCTATCGATTGTGTAGTATAAGGGATGGCAAGGAATTGCCCATGTGGGATGAGCTCGTAGCGGGTTTGGATTTGGGGATTTGAACCCCCTGGTTTTGTCGCCAAGGCACGGGTCTGCAAACCAACTAAGTGTGTCTTTTGGGACTTGGTAAGTACCCTTGTTGGGGCTACAAAGAGCAGCCCGCAGGAAAGTCACCCATGGTGGGGGGTTCTGATCTTCGAAAGTACAAACCATAATCTTCACATATTTGAAACAAAATCTTATCATTATAGAATCCAATCCCTCCTCCCCCCCCCAAAAAAAAGAAAAAGAAAAGAAGAGAAGCAAGTCGCACCGAGTCGCACCGAAATGGGTATCTTGTTCCGGCGCGCTGCGGATCGATCCATCGGCGCATCGGGTGGCACCGAGTCTCCGGAGTGAAGATCGGCTTCGCCTGGGGCTGTCTGAACTTCATCTACGCCCTGCTGCGCCTTGAGCTCGAAGCGAGCGAAGAATTCTGCGGTTTCTGCGGCTTTTTTTCAAACGGGAAGATATGCTCAGGAACCGGGCTCAGAACTATATACCTGAACCCCCCCAAACTACCTGGACCCCCAAAGGACCCCTTTTTTCTGCCTTTGTACCCCTTTTTTTGGGTAGAGAAAAGGGGTCCTTTGGGGGTCCAGGTGCGAACAAGAAGTTGGAACTCAATGCCCAGAAGTTCGGGGTAACCCAGGTAGACTAGACAAAATGGGCCAGCTTCGCTGAACATGTTTGCTAAGCGCGCCCAAGATTGGCCAACAGACGTCAGGACCCATTTTTTTTGAAATTTCTGGCATTCAATCCAGACGGCTCACCACCCGAAGCGAGCCGACCGGATCTAGATTGTTAGGTTTCTCAATCAGTTCGTGAATATTCCCCCTACCCCCTACTCCAAATACCCGCTTTTTTCAGTTGGTATTTTTGGGAAAACCTGGCTTTCCAAGGCAAATACCTCCTTTTTTAGCAGAGGGTCGACATGATACCTTGAAAAAAGTGGGTATTGGGTGTAGGGGGTACTCCAAATTACCTTTTTTTTTAAGGCTATGATGTCGACCCTGGAGGAACCTACCCTGGAAAACCGAAGAGGGCTTGTCAATAAATGCAAAAGCCGCACGGGTAGTTGGAGGTTCCGAGAAGGTTGGTGTTTCACTGAGTTGGCGTTGTTTCACTTGCTGGTGCGATAGGCATGAGAAATGGAATGACCCAATCCCCTAGCCTTCCCAAAAGTTGGCTGATGGCAAGTTCGTTCAACTTTTGCGGGGCTGGGAACTTTTTCCCGTCCGCCGTCAACCATTCCGCTCGTTGTTGGCCTTGCTATGGGGAACCCCTGAACCAAACTCAACCAACATGTCGGTTCCATTGTTTTTTTTCAAAAAGTGCCAAAAAGTGGGGTATTTGGAGTAGGCGATTGTTTGTGGAAGGGAATCCCCTGACCAAGCTTTTTGAAACTCCAAGGTTTGTTTCGGATGTTCGGAAGCCCCAAGTCGAAATCAAGCAACCTCTGTTTGGAAACTCCAAGTCGAAATGAAGAACCAAACTAGGGTCTCCTCCAAAGCTTTTTATTATACTAGAGTGGACTAAATGTGAAACAGCATCATAACATGTTTACTTTCCGAGTGCCCCATATTTGGTCCAATATTGGCGAATACATAGCAGCAGGGAACCCCAAATCGAATTGTTCAACAGGGGGAACCCCCAAATACACATAAACCAACATTGTTTGGGATCTATTAATTGAACATCAAATCAACATCAAAATCAACCAATTCACCCACAAGTTCAAATCGGCTGGCAGGGGCATGAGTTTGACAGCCCAGTAGTCTAGGTTGCAAAGGCTTCATCTTGCATTGCTGGTCCCCTTTAGGGGGGCAACGGGTAACTGGAAGTCAAGATCAAGCAATTTGCCCATGAAAAAAGTCAAGTCAAAACCAAGCTCAATGAACCAACATGTGTTTGGGATCTGTGAAGCCACTCAAAAATATATTATAATAATAATAATAATAATAATAATAATAATAATAATAATAATAATAATAATAATAATAATAATAATAATAATAATAATAATAATAATAATAATAATAATAATAATAATAATAATAATAATAATTAATAATAATAATAATAATAATAATAATAATAATAATAATAATAATAATAATAATAATAACAATAATAATAATCATAATAATCATAATAATAATAATAATAATAAAGTAGATCAAGCACATGGCCTGGAGACATTTTTCTCCTGTTTCCCCCCCCAACCGATTCGAATTACCAAGTTGTATTCTCACCCGGACTGGCCATGGCCCTCGCCCCCCCCTTCCGGGGGATATCCCCATCGATTCGGGGTTCCGAGGTATGCCATGAGCCTGTGGCTGGGCGGGCACTACCTGCTGAAGGGCGAGGAGTGCACACCCTCGAGAAGGGTGCCGGGCGTGTGCCATTTTTTTCGGATTTGGAGCCCCCAAAATGGGACGGGGGTGTCCTTTTTTGGTGTGGACCTTCAAAGCCATGTCTGTGTTCTTTTCGAATTTGGACCCAACAAATTGGTCAGGGGTGGCCTTTTTTGGTGTCGACCTTTAAAGCCAACCAAGAAGGGGTACCAGCTCTCCAACAAGTGTTAAACCCCAACCCCCCTTGGACTAACAAAGGATCGTTAAAAAAGGAGGTTCCTAAGATGGTAGTATACGGGCACGAAAACAGCGACTGTATAAAGGCTTCATAATTTTCGTGGTGGATGAATAGCTTTGGTATTAAAAAAAGGTGAAGCGCGGGATCAACAAGCACATCAGTGCAGCACATCCACATCTGCGAACGCATGTTCATGCATGCATGTTCTAATGTGCGTATTTGAACCTGCTTCCGTTTTGTGCATGAGCTTGTTGGTTAGCGACTTTGTCTCAGGGTGTTTGTGTTGCATCCTTGGGTTGCACCCGCTGGGAAATCGTTCCGCTGAGTCTGGCTTGCAGGTAAAACCCAACCCAGACCCAATCATACTCTTAACACAACAAAAATAAACATAAGATTTTCAGACGCGCCTTAAAACTAGGTTGTTTTCTTTTGGGGGGGGGGGTTCGCCTTAACTCGACCAATCCAAACATGCTTTTTCTTGTTGTCCATGGCCACTCTTGGGAAGGCCAACCTGTTCGGACTGCTTTGGCCAGGTGTAATTCGAAAAATCGCGAAAGAGCGAGCTCATGATGTTGGCCTTTGGGGGTCCAAGTCTTCCGGGATTTGGGATAGAGCGAGAAGCGGCGCTTTGGGTTGAGTGGGGCGGGCAGAGTCGCCCTGACAATTGCAGGGTGTTCAAGCTTGGGGCGCAAAAGCGTCGAGTCGACAGGACGTGGAGCAGTCCGGGAAAGTGATTGTGGTGATGATCTCGTTGATTGCGCCGTGGCTTTTCTTTTGCTCAGGGGGTCGCTTAAAGGCTACCTGAGCCCTCAAGCTAACCATAGACAAAAAGGTGAGTTCACCCGCCAGATAGTTTTGGTTGGCAGAAGCCAAGGTTTAAGTTGGTAGATCTTTGGGGTCCGTACAAGCATCACCACCTCATTCCGGATCCTGCGGGTGTCCACAAGTCAGGTTGATTATTTCACCGACATGGGTAAGCTTGTGCTTCCGCAAGAGGCCCTACAGAGTGTCTAATGGGCACCCCGAATTAAAAGAAGAAAAAGGAGTGCCGCCTTTTCGTGGGGATTCAAATCACTTGAGTGGGGATTCGAATCACCGGCCTTTTTTTTTTTAAAGGGGGTGTCGATCGCTGCAGGTTTTTTCACCAGCTGGCTGGCTCAGATCGATGCAAGTCCCAGGCCGCGAAGCATTGGACAAAGATCATCTTACCCTCCCCAATGTGGATCACTTGGTGACCCCTTTTCACGCCTTCTGTTCGCCTGAGAGTGTAAAACTTATCTGGTTCTTGTGGATGGTTGCGAAATCCATTTGCTTCCCACACCACCGGAATCAGAAACCCTGGTTTCTGATGATTCCCCTGTAGATACCAATGAACAATGGATTTCAAGTGGTGCGAAATGGATGTCCTCAACCCACAGCAGGACTAATGTTGACCCCGGATGAATCAACCCCTGTTTATTAATATGGTGGAGTCCCTGGTTTTAGTAGGGATTCAGCACTTTTGGAGGGGAACACCCCCCTATGAAATAAACAGGGGTTTACTCCGGGTTCAACATTCTGGCATGGTAAAAACCAAACCTTTTTTAGTAGAGGGTCGACCTACCAAATGAAAAAAGAATAAGCCGGGTATGTGGAGCTTTCGGGGGCAGGCTATACTAGGTTCCCTGCCCCTTTGAGTCGCCCCTCGAACCTTGAACCCAGTGGTTTTTATTTGAGTACCAGGGGTTTATTCATGGGTCAACAGTATGCCATGGTAAAATCCTATCCTTTTTTAGTACCGGGTCGACATGATACCCCTCCTTTCCTAGGAACGGGTTGACCTCCTAGCCCCCCCCCCCCAAAAAAAAAAAAGAAAAAATATGTGGATCCTTTCGCCGAGGTGGGCATCTCCGGCATCAGCATGTTCTCCGGGCACGCGCCCACCATGGCGCGGGCCATCGTGTCCGCCAAGTCCATGAAGGAGGCGAAACGGCGTCGGACGGCTCGGAAGTCCGCTGAGTTCGAGTGAAAGGATCCCCCCTACTCAAAATACCCGCTTTTTCAGGGTACTTTTGGGAACCTGGTTGTTCATGGTAAATACCCCCTTTTTCTAGTAGAGGGTCAACAACGGGGCGAAATCCCCAGAAACACGTTCACCAAATACCGAACAAAAAACGCAAAGCTGAGTCAAAGTTGTTGGGAAGCATTTTGCATTTCTTATTGTGGATTATTAACTGCCAAAATTGAAATGGTTGCTCCCCTTCCAACGTCAACCAAGAAAAAAGGGCCGGGGGATCCTCAAAAACAAGCTTTGAACCAATCCCCCGCCGAAGAAAAGAAGCACCAAGCTGAATTCCTCAAAAAAACAAAAACAACCCATGTGTTGGAGACTCTGAAAGTTATATTGCGGACCCGGTGGGGTACGTGAGTGGCCTGAGGGTAGTCCAAGAGTTAATTGAAGTATAGCCATCCATGCGTGTACCATTCATTAATTCATCCATTCATCCATCCATCCATTCATCCATTCATCCATTCATCCATTCATCCATTCATCCCTTCATCCCTTCATCCATTCATCCATTCATCCATCCATCCATCCATCCATCCATCCACCCACCCACCCACCCTGCATGCATGATGCATGCATGCTTGCATTCATTCATTCATTCATTCATTCAGTCAGTCAGTCAGTCAGTCAGTCAGTCAGTCAGTCAGTCATTCAGTCATTCAGTCATTCAGTCATTCAGTCATTCAGTCACTCAGTCATTCAGTCATTCCATTCCATTCCATTCCTTTCCCTTCCTTTCCATTCCATTCCGTTCCATTACACTCCATTCATTCCCATTCACTGTCGGGACTCAAGTGTCTCCCTCAAGAGGCAAACAACCTGGCCTGTGGCACCATCAGCCGAAACAGACAAGACAACAAGTTGCTGGGACACGTGAGAAACTCGTCATTACAAACATGCTTACCGATATTGCAGGCGCAACGAATGCAACTGCTCATGCAACATGCGTAGATGCAATACCATCCCCCCAAAAAATGAGCCAACAGACGTTGTGGGAGTTGTTAAGGCGGAGGTTGGGATGTGTTTTTCTGGGATCACCCTATCACTAACTGTAAAGGGAAACTTCTCCTAGTACTTTTCAGAACCCAAATGCAACCTGCTTTCAGGGAGGATGTTTTGTGTCGATTTCCCGGTTGGCACTTGGTTTTTCTCCAGCCAAACTGCCTCCTTCGAAAGAAGTCACGTTCCTTGGGCCGGGGCCCATAGGTGTCCTTTTTGATTGTTTTGCTCGAAAAACAGATGGCGATCCCTGGTTTACCTGGTGGTTTTATTCCATCCACAATGGCCATCTCTTTCCCCTAAAAGGACACATGCCAATCTTTAGGCTTAACTTTTTGGTTGAAATCAAGTTGGGTTTTCCACTCTACCCCCAAAAAGTGAAACTCACTTTTTTGCTGGGGGGTCGTTACAGCAACCATGAACCATGACCCAATCGGCCATGTGCTCGGCGTTTTATTTGGGGAAGGGGTGCCCTAAGTCAACAAAGCACCATGGAAGACCACTGGGTCGGTCAACCGCAAGCGTCGCGTTTTATTCGACCTGGAATCCCTCGCTGGGTGCGATCGTTGCCGTTTCGGCAGGTGATCCACTGCAAGGCCCACGACATCGAGCCCGAGAGTCTGGAGCTGCAGGTGGAGGAGGAGGAGACCTGGGATGCTGGGAGCGAGCTCCTTGTGGATGGTTGCGAAATCCATTCCGTACAGGGTTGTGGGATCACTCGGAGTTTCTCCAACCACTTCGGTGATACTTTTGGGAATCCGCCTTTCTATGAACACAAGAGTCTTTGGAACAAGCCCTTTCCGTTGTATCACAGAAGTGGATTCCATTCCCCACAGCCCTGAAATTCCGCACCGGAATCAGAAACCCTGCCTGGTGTCTGATTCGCCTCCTTTTTTTTTTTTTGTTCCAACAAACAATGGGTTATGGTTTCCAAGTGGTGCGACATGGATGTCGCAACCATCCACTGTATTCCTGGGATGGGAGCTGTGACGGATCTTTGGACGGAGCATCTCTTTTTGGTCTAAACACATGGGTGTGGCTCAAAATTTGAGAGCTAGGGCTACGCAGCAGGTGTTGGTCTTCGTTTCCATTTGCCTCCATTTACCTAGGGGCCATTTTGGGTACATTTTTTGAGCCACAGCCACATGGACCCACAACAAGTTGAACTCGTTTTTGGCGGAGGGGGCGTTGCAGCAAGCAAGTTCTCAGAAGCCGTTGATGCCGGGCAAGATAAGTAGAACCCCTCTACTAGAAGACAAAGTCGGGGTGGGGCAAGTTCCCACAAGTAGTCTGAATCCAACCTCTAGGGGACAGGCCCCCGATCCGGTGTGAAGTGGTTTCACCAATAGGCTGATTGGAGGAATCGGCACCCTAGATTGGAGAGAGCCTTGATTGTTTTTCGGTGCATGCCCACTTCGGAAGTGGAGACGGAGGTTCACCTGAGCCACGTCCTCAAAATCCCGGGTAGATGAAGGTGAGCAAGGCATAGTCCCAACCCATAAATGGGTGCAACCGCCGGGTTAAATTCTTTACATGGGTTCTGGGTAGACCATTTTATTTTTTGCACCGATCGGTTTTGATTCTGATTCTCACCTGACATCAGCCGATGAGCCGCTGAAAAACGCGCTCACCGTGAGCTTCCGGCAACGGGATTCCCCAAAGGAGCCGTGGGTAGAATGATGAGTTCGAGATCATTTTACCGGGACCCCAAAGGACCGATTCCTTTTTTCTGCCTTTGACCCAAAAAAGGGGTGCAAAGGCAGAAAAAAATGGTCCTTTGGGGGTCCAGGTTTACTGGGCCCAAACTGAGTTGGGGGAATTCCACTTGTTTTTTCTTCCCCTGCTTGAGGAAGGCTTGGTTTCCGCTTGCCCTGACTTGATCAGGCAGCCCTAAATTTGTGGTTTGGGGCTTCAACCCCAGCTTTTTTTGAAGCCAAATGGGGGGCGAGCCCTAAGCCCAACGTCCGAACTACGAAACACAGCCTGAAATGTTGGTGGTTTGGGGCTTAAACCCCCGAACCACGAAACCAAACCACCAATTCGTTCGAGGGAAGCTGAAAGATGCCGTGATCCGCTCAGATTTGCGCAGGAGTTGCATCTCGAGACCATCGAGTTCAAGGATGTGTGCTTCAGGCGGAGAGATGATTCGCAGTGGCTAGGTTTTGTTTCTTCTTTTTTTTCTTCATCTTTTTCGTATGACCCCAAAAATCCTGGACCCTGAAAGGTCCCCTTTTTTTCTGCCTTTGACCCAAAAAAAAGGGTACAAAGGCAGACAAAAGGGGTCCTTTGGGGGTCCAGGATGGTTGTTTTCCTTTTGGTCCCGTACCCAAGGAGCCTCAAACGAAGAGGCCTATTGGTTGGATCTTTAGACAACCTTGGGGCGCTGGTTTTCTGCAGGCTGCAATCAACAACGCAAGCACACAAGGCAGCCAGCCAACCGCACCAACCCCTCGTTGTGCCTTGCCCCTTGTTTCGCTGCAGATTTCCTTTGCAGCGCTTCTCTCCCCGTCGGTGTTCGCTTCCGGAGGTAGCCTTCCATTTTCTCGCGTATGTGTTACCTTCCCTTGTTGGTTTTAAAGGGAATCAAAATCACTATGGGGAATATCTTTGTTTTTTGCAAGGGGCTTAAGCAAAACTAACCAAGGAAACAGACAATCACACCAACAAACAAACAAATGAACAAGCCAACAAACAAAACACACATACGCACCTACCAACATGCCAAGAGACAAACAACTGAGCAACCCTAAGGCTCCCGATGATCTTTGGGCCCTCTCCTGATGGGTTGTTTTCTTTCCGGGCCTCTGAGGAATTGGTCCCGGGTTCTTCATTGGAGGGCCCCTAAGAGGGGCCTGCGTTGGAGGCTCCGGTCATGAGCCTTACTTGACTATTGGGCAAGGGATCTTTAGACTTTTTAACTTTTGGGAAACCAGGGGGTGTTCCACTCAACCCCAAAAAAGTAGAGCTCACTTTTTGCGGGGGGGGTCCTTGCAACCAAGTCATGAGCCTTAGGGAAGCAAACAAACAAGTGAACAAGCCAACAAACAAACCAAACAAACAAACAACCGAACAAGTAAACATACCAACATATCGACATACCAAGAGACAAACAAAACAAACAAACAAACAAACAAACAAACAAACAAACAAACAAACAAACAAACAAACAAACAAACAAACAAACAAACAAACAATCAAACAAACAACAATCAATCAATCAATCAATCAATCAATCAATCAATCAATCAATCAATCAATCAATCAATCAATCAATCAATCAATCAATCAATCAATCAATCAATCAATCAATCAATCAATCAATCCAATGGGCTGACTGGAGGAATCGGCACCCTAGATTGGAGAGATTCTTGATTGTTTTTCGGTGAATGCCCACTTGGTTAGTGGAGACGGAGGTTCACCTGAGCCACGTCCTCAAAACCAATGAGCAGAGGTACCCCATGCGCCCGGAGCGCCTGGTGCTGAACAACTTCAGCTTCCGCGTGGAGCGGGGCCAGAAGATCGCCTTTGTGGGGGAGAGTGGCTGCGGCGCCTTGTTCGGCACCACCCATGGGCCTAAACACTCACCCTTTTTGACAGGTCTTTTGATCAAACGCTTTTTCGAGAGCACCGGGTGGCTCAAAACACTCCCGCCTCAGGGCTTCTCCCCCCTTTTCTTCTCCGGCTTCTCTGTTATCCACAAAAGAGCCGCTACGCAGCTTGTAGGGGGTGCAAATCCCCCATGTGCATCTATCGAGTTTTTGTTGGGCTCGGCTGCAGACAGGAGTTGGGCCAAAACCCAAATCAGGACGTCCTTTTCTGAATATATGAACAGAGGGGGCCCTTTTCCCCACTCCCGTAGTGCCCTTTCTCACCCTTTTTTGGGGGAGGGTTCCCCTACGAAAATAGAAAGGGTACCCTTCTTCTAACCTCTCTACTGGAGGACCTAGGTACACTTTTTGTGAGTTTGGACCATTTTAGTTGTGAATAAGAAGTTGTTTATTGTTTTTGTTTGCCAATCCACTCAGGAAGTGAGCATATCAGAATCAAAGGGGTTTCCATTAAACCCACAAAACAAATCATCAAGCAGTATTTGTTTGCAGAGGGATCAACAGCAAGCAAGCCCTTTCCTTGGCATTTTTTCCTATTCTCATGACCCTCTAATGCAGGCCCCCTTTGGCCCTTTGAATAAATCAATCGAATTGGGGCCTTAGACGTGTCCCAACATGTCCACTGCCGTTGGCCCCTTTGCCAAACCCAGCACCTCCGAGGTAAGAGCACCACGATCCAGCTGTTGGAGCGCTTCTATGATCCCGTGTCAGGCCGGCATGCGGCAGGCGTCGTGCGTCGCATGCTTTAGCTACGTAGCTCTGTGTTTTGCGTTTTTGTGTTTTGTGTGTTTTTTTTTGTTTTTTTTTTTTTGGGGGGGGGGTAAATGACCACACATTTTGGGGGTTCGCGCGACTTCACCCATGAAGTTTTTGTTCAGGGGGATGCCTTCTTCTTCTACGTAAATCATGGTAGATCCTTGTCCGTTTTCAAGGTTTCTTGGTCTTCGGAGACCACGTGGGGTTCAAATCCTTGTTTTTGACACCACCATGAGTCATGAGGGGCCAACTCATGCATGGTGTTTGGAACAACCAGGAAATTCCTATTTTGGAACGGCCACACCCAAAGTACGCACAAAAGCCTGGGGGAGCATCTAATCTTCCGATATGTTCTTTGGGAAAGCAGAGCATTTTGTCCGCTGCTATCCTTCCAGCGAACTTCCTTTCGTCCAGGTGAGATCCTCATCAACGGCGTTCCGCTGTCGCTTCTGCACGTCAAGGCGGGCGAGACCTGCGCTCGGCCGAGAAATGAGAAATGTCTTGGGGCCCGATCATGCTTGCTTGTAGGCGCAGGTGACTGGTTCTACGTCTCCTATGTGGGTTATTTCACCAGGCTCGCAAGCCACTTACAAAGTGCCCGATCGCCCCTTAAAGTGGCTGTTCAGCCTACTTAGTAGGTCATAATTGTTCTTGATATGTAAGCAACCCCCAGTGCCACTTATAACCCTCCTCACGGGGGTTGCACCTCTAAGGCTTCTGGCTGCAGACGGCCTGGAGCAATCGTTCCCAACTCAACCGGCCTTCGCTGCCGCGTGTTGAGTTGGCCAACTTTTAACTCCCATGTGTACGTGGCGGTTCCCATCCGTCCGGTTCCGTAGGATTTTGGGTTTTCAGGGTTTAGTGGTGGAAAACCATGTGACAAACACCAAGACGTGAACATTCAGCCGTGGATTTGAGGACAGCCCAGCATGCGGTAGGTAACCAAAGGAACTGGTCAAGGCCCTCCTCCCACGTTCAGAACCTCCTTTTTAGCTGCAGGGTTGACATGATACCCTCCGAAACAGGCGGGCATTTGGAGGGGGCAGGCCCAAACTCCACGTGGGTTTGTCCTCCCCTTTCAACCCACACAAAGCAGGTACCAACTCCAAAACACGGACAAACACACACACACACACACACACACACACACACACACACACACACACACACACACACACACACACACACACACACACACACACACACACACACACACACACACACACACACACACACACACACACACACACACACACACACACACACACACACACACACACACACACACACACACACACACACACACACACACACACACACACACACACACACACACACACACACACACACACACACACACACACACACACACACACACACACACACACACACACACACACACACACACACACACACACACACACACACACACACACACACACACACACACACACACACACACACACACACACACACACACACACACACACACACACACACACACACACACACACACACGTGTGGTTTTGCTTTTGGCTTTCCTTTGCTTACCCCCCCCCCACCGAAGACAACAACCTCCGGAGAAGAACTCCGCTTCCCCGGCCCATGTCCCACTTGGGTGTTCGGCAATGTTGATCATGTTTTTTTTTTTTTTGGGGGGGGGGGAGGGGGGGGGGCACAACCCACTTATAAGTGAATGTGGGGGCATATTTTAACCTCGGCTACAACCCACTTATAAGTCTTTCCCGTGAATGTGGGGGGTACCCCGGAGATTTCTGTGTAACCCAAGTGGCTAAGCACTTGGCCGCTCCGAGCCTCCGAGCTGTCGGCTTCGGTTTCGGTTTCGGTCGCAGAACTGGCGGAAGCTCATCGGCTTCGTGGGCCAGGAGCCCGTGCTCTTCGCCACCTCCGCGCCTCGGAGACGGGGGAAGCCCGGCGTTTGGGTTAGCTCGGGGAGCCGGAAGAAGTCGTTGGCTTTTTTGGAAGGGCTGGGGATGGCCAGTTTTTGGTGGGGGTTGAAAATGGGGAGTTCCCGGACTTTAGGTGGTTTTGCAAAAAACAACACGGTTGAGTGGGAAAAGGAGACAGTTCCTGGACTTGTTTGTCGCCGATGAGGTGGGTGGAAGGAGGATTTTTTGAGGGGTGCCCCCTCCAAAGCTCCAAATAACCTGCTTTTTCAGGGTATGTTGGGAAAAGCCTGGTTTTCGGCAAAAGGGGGAGACAGAAAATTGAGAAGATGTTCAAGCTCGGGGCCAAATCCCATTCTTGGAGAGTAGTGGGAAATCCAATTGGGAGCTACCAGGAGCTCCAAAAGGACCTGTGGCTAAGTGAATTGGATCTTCAGACATTGTATGTCCCAACAACCTGCAAGAAGTGAGACGCTATGATACCCTTAAACATGTGGGTATTTGGAGTAGGGGGGGGGTATATGTTTCTGTTTCATAAACCAGTGTCTCCTAACACATAAAAGAAAGTATGTGTCGGAGACCCCAGTCAACCGTTACACTCCCACAAATTAGCATGAAACCCAAACCACCAAACCCAGAGGCGATGAAAAACCTGAAGATGGGTGATGAGTCCATCACCGATGAGCAGGCCATCGAGGCGCAGAGATCGCTGGCGCAGGGCTTCGCGGCTTCGAGCGATGGCCGCTTTAGGCTAGGGTTCCAACTTCACTGTTGTTGGCCTTTTTTTGTTTTGTTTTTTGAAATGCCCGTGTTCATGTTTATTAGGGGGCTGCAAAAAGCGGAACATTATTTGCTTCTTGGATGTTCGGCCAAGTAAATGGTTAGCCACTTGGGTTATAACACAGTAATAACAGGTAATAACAGGCTTAACCCATTTAAGGGGACTTATAGGTGGTTGCCCGCCTAGGTTACCAACAACTTGTCAACTTGGGCCAAACACCCAAGTGCATTTCCCCTTCTGCAAATCAAGGGAAAGAACCCAAAAAGGTGGTCCCCAAAAGGTTGCTCTAAAAAAGGACGGCTGTTTGGGTTTCATGTTAGTTTGTGGGAGTGCAACTGTTGACTGGGGTCTCCTCCACATTTGTTCTTTTCAGTTTAGGATGCACTAATTATGAAACAGAATCAACATATACCCCGTACTCAAATACCGACTTTATTAGTCATATCAACCCCGTACTAAAAAGGGATTCATTGTTCTGGTTTTTGGGCAAGTGAGGCGGGGTTTTTCAGGTGCTTATAAGGAACTTGCTTCAAGGGGCTACTTAAAAGGGGCAGGGAACTTAGCAAGCGGTCAGCAACCAGGCTTTCTAACCCACTTCGGAGATGGATTTTGGGTTATGATTGCCCCTTTAAGTGGTTGACACATCGATGCAGGCGGCAAAGTGTGGGTTATGACCATGGCTAGTACCACTTGCATGACGTACCCGATCGTCCCTTAAGTGGTTGGCTCAGACACGTCGATGCAGGCGGCAAAGCAGGCGCAGATCTACGACACCCTGCAGCCTGGACGTGGGAAATGGGTTCAGAAGAAGGGGGCTTTTAAGAGGCTGTGCGGTGGATATGTCCCTTCAGTATGCGGGTATTCGCATTATTGTCTCAGACATGGTTGTTGTTGGGAAACAGTTTTTTACATAGTTGCTTCTTGTGGTTTAGTGGTTGAAATCCAAATCCGCTGAACTGCTAAGATTTAAAAAATGTTCCCCTTCCAACGTCAACCAAGGTTTAAGAGGCGGTACGGTGGATATGTCTACCATACTGTGGGTGGACGATACCACCGGAATCAGAAACCCCTGGTTTCTGATAATTCCCCTGTCACTTCCCGGGTTCCGTTTGGGACTGCACTCACTTCCTGGGTTATTTTTCGGACTTTAGACTGTTTGGGAAGACAATTATGGCGGTAAGTGCACAGTTTGGGTCGTCTTTGACCAATCCACTCAGGAAGTAGCATCCCGATCACGCATTTTTGGTATCCATCGAGAATTCAAATAGGAGCCGATTGACATATATGGATGCGTTTCTAGAGGGGTCGCCCTTTTGAGAGGCAGTCCTTGTTATACCTTCCATTTTTGGACTGATCCTCTCCTAGAAACCAGGCTTTTGACCACGGCTGGGTGTTGACACGTCCCTCACTCCTGATGTCCTCGACTGTACACTTGTTTGGGGAAGTGTGGGTGCCTGACCTGGCACCGCAGTCAGAGATGTTTCATGAGAGTCGGAAAATTGCACTTCCAATTCCGTTGTGCATCTCAGACAACTTGTTGTGAAGCAATTACATGTTTCTGGAGCGAAGTTTGTTCTCAAGAACCCCCTGGACCCCCAAAGGACCCCCTTTTTTCTGCCTTTGTACCCCTTTTTCTTGGGTCAAAGGCAGAAAAAAGGGGTCCTTTGGGGGTCAGGCCTTTTCGGTTTGGTCTTCGACGCCCGAGGCAAATGTTGCCGGAGCAGCTGAACACCTTCGTCGGCATGGGAGGCGAAGCGCGGAACGGAACGGGCCGATTTTCCGGTCTTTGTGCGAGTTGGTACCCCGTTGTTGGTGGTTTTGAAAGGAATACTTCGAAGAAAAACAATCAGGGGGGGGGGGGGGAAGGCGGAAAAAACTCAAATTCCGCGCATCATAGGGAAAACTGGGGGAGGGGTGTGGAAACCTTCTTAGACGAATCATGGACAGGAGGGTTGGGTAATCTAAAGCCAAATTGCTTCATGCTGGCAGGGGAAATGATGTTGTAATTGTTATGTCCTTATATGGCTGTGTCTTTTTGAGGGGCCCCCGAAAAAGTTGTTGGTTTCCTGGTGTTTTTCTTGTGCAGGGGTCCCTTGATTCCAGTTTTGCCTTCTGACGGTGAATCACAGTTCCGAGAACTAGGTCCCCCAGCGATCGGTGCCCTTTCTCACCCTTTTTTGGTTGGGAGGGTTCCCCTACTAAAATCGGCTGCAGAGAAAACTCAGTTGCCCAAAGCGAATCGACCTTTCAACCTTTTGGTTTTCTCGGTTTGGTCCATTTTTTGTCATGGTCCCAAAAGGTTAACCTTTTATTTCCAGGTCCTTTGGGCAACTGAGAAAAGGGTACCAACTTATTCTATCCTCTCTACTGGAGGACCTAGGCGAAAAACACCTGGTTTTAATCACTGCGCCGCAGCCTTTTGGCCGCCAGGCGGCCTTTTGTCTGGCGGCCAGAGGCAGAGGGCCGCGCGCTGAGAGGTTGTGGGGGAAGGGGCAAAGTATGTAAACAAAAAGCGCATATAAATATATATATATAGCTATCTGCTTTTTTCTGTATCTTATATTTTCATGTGTATCTCTCTATATAGGTATTTGATATATACACTATTTAAAACAACAAGTAGGTATTTATCTATAGACGCTATGAATATGGACTTGTCTGAGACTCAGGGATCTCTTGCCGCAGTCTGGTATGGGTACTTAGGGCCCACAAGCACCCTGACCTAGTCCAAAGACCGCGTGTGAAGCTATGTCAGTCTGACATAGGCGAGTTGCCTTGCAACTGGCCCCTTCGACTCAAGGATGTGGGCATATTTTTCGGGTAATTTCCAGACACGGTTTCCTTTACATCCCCGCTTCCCCCCATCTCACCGCAAGTCTGTTTTCCCGAGCTATGGATTCGGATGGGCAAACGTTTAGCCCGGTTCAAGCGGACGGGCCGCCTGGCATGGAGGTGCGGGACCCATTCCAAGAGGAACGTGCAGGAGGGCTGTTGTTCTTCCCTGCTTGGTTCACTTTGTAAAGGTCCTCAGGGTTTATTCTCGCCTGGAACGTTCTAGGTGTTTAAAAGTGCGTTCAGCAGGATCTGAATACGTGAGGTTCGGTGTGCCCACAGCTTCTATTTGCTCAAGAATACTTGCCCTTTTCCCTGGTTGGTTCTAAAGGGAAACGCCTTCACTCCTGGAAGTACCTAGATAGCCAAGTCGCTGCTTTTTTCAGTCACTATTGTTGGTTTTGTTCATGGAAAAAAGCGATCGCAACTGGCGATCCAGGTAGGTTCTCATAGGGGGCGTTCCAGGGGCGAAGAAGCCAATGGAGGACCAAATTGGCGACAGCCAAAAATACCCCGAGGTCGCCATCGCCCGCGCCTTGGCCAAGCAGCCCCAGCTGCTCCTTTTGGACGAGGCCGCGCGCGCGAAGAGGTGAGCGAAGAGCGCACCTCTTGAAGCACTCGGCGGTTTGGTTTCGGCTTCTCCCCGCCTTCCGATTTGAGAACCCGAAAAATCGCACTTAAGCGTCGCCTTTTTGGTGGGGTTGGTGGCCATTTTGGTGGTAGATTCAATCAGTTTAATTTCCTTTACTGGTCAATACGCTCAGGAAGTGAGACCCTAAAGGGTCCGATCGGAGCTTCAAATTCCGTCGATCGGAGCCTTACGGTATTCACTTGTATCGGGTTGCAACAGAGGAGGTTCATGCCAACCTGGACCCCCAAAGCACCCCCTTTTTTTTTGCCTTTGACCCCAACAAAAGGGGGTACAAAGGCAGAAAAGAGGAATCGGTCCTTTCAGGGTCCAGGAAGGAATAACAACAGCCCTCCACGTTCCTCTTGGAATGGGTCCCGCACCTCCAGGCAGAAAAAAGGGGGTCCAGGACGGCTTGAGAAGTGCTTTGGGTGCTGGATGCGCCCCAGGTCCCATTCGGCGCCCGTTTTTTGGCTGAGAAAGCCACCAGCGCGGCTCAAAGAAGCGAGCTGCAGCCGGTGGGTGCAAACCCGTGTTGCGCCCAGTTTCGCCCAGTCCAGCTCGTCTTTGTGGAGGCTCCCCCCCCGAAAAAAAGAGAATGAAAGAGAAGGAAAGCCAACGGTGTTCGTCTTGTTTCCCGTCAAAAAGGCAGCGATCAAGGTGTGCCTTGCTCCAAGAAGGGACCAGTGGCCATATCCAATGTTCCCTTTCATCTTCAGATGGGGTTAGGCTTCAAAGGGTCATCCTCGGGTCACTAGAAGTCCGCACACCAACACGCCATTGCACTCTCAACCACAACTTGAGCAAGTTCAACCCCAAAAGGACCAGAATGCATGGATGATCTGAAAAACCAGCTTAAACATCTTCGGCTTTAGGACATGGGACAGCAAACAAATGAAAACAAACGACATCCAGAGCCACGAAAGATTGGCGCCTTGCCGTTGTTGTTTTTTTCGTCTCGCGGCAAGGCCACCTCCGCCCTGGACAATGAGTCAGAGCGGATGGTGCAAGAGACCTTGGACTCGTTGAACGAGAACGAATCCCTGAGCATCACCAGCATCTCCATCGCCCACAGGCCGAGCGAGAGAGCGATTTGGGCGCTGGCTGCGGGCTCCTTTTGTTTGCCGGATCTCGCATATTCTTTGGGCCTTGTGTAAGGGGTCACTGCTTGGATGCGTGGAACGCCGATAAATTGCTCATCTTTTGGTGAGAAGTCCACTTAAGTGTTCGGCCAAGATTGTTTCGGTTTTTGGTAGCTAGGTTATAACCCACTCGGAAAGTCACCCGTTTCATTTGCATTAACCAGCCGTTATTGGGGTGGTTACCCAGCCGTTTCAGCCCATCTTTGGCATCTTTGGGGCTTTGAGCCATCGCGAAATGGCTCAACCCATGTTTGATTGTTTGTTTGTGTGTTTGTTTGGTGTTTCGTTGTTTTTTTGTTACGGTTTGTTTCTGCTGTTCTGGTTGGTTTGTTGTTGCATGGTTGGTTGTTTTTGTTTGTTTGTGTTGTTTCGTGTTGCTTGTTGGCGTGTTTTGATTGGTTGGTTGGCTTGGTTGCTTGGCTGGTTGGCTGGGCCACGCCTTTTGTGGTTGACGGCTGGGTAACCTGCAAGTTTTGTAGGAGCATTCACGCGACCAGTCAAGGCCAAGCAAATAAGCAAGCAAGCAAACCAACCAACAAACAATCAACACAAGCAAGCAAACAAACAAAGCAAACAAGCAAGCAAGCTAGCAAGCAAGCAACAAAAGTACGACAAACCAATCAAACAAAAACAACGCGTGCGCACACACACACACAAGCAGTGAAGCCATGAGCAGCTGGGTCGCTGTCTTCAGCTGCCTGGGGCTAGCTGCATATATGCCACCTAGACCCGCAAGCTAGCCTTAAACAGATGGAATTCACCCTGCAATGTTACGGCAATCACCAATGTTTAAGGGAGGTTTGACGGTGTGTTTAAACCACTAGCTAGTTGCAATAGAACCTACATTCAAAGCGTATCTTCAAGGGTCTGAATCATCAGACACGTTGCGCTTGCCTCGGATGCCCCATGGAGAAAAATAAACAATAAAAATAACATCGTCGGACGTGGCGGGCCGTTTGTGACGGAACTCCAGTTCACCATACCGCTGGGTGAATTTGTGATTTGGAGGTGGTCCGGAACCAAAGAAGCAGCAGCTCCCAGAGACTTCGGCTTTCCAAGACGGCGCACAGAAAAGCAGCCCCCTCCCCCCCCAGAGGGTTGTTGGGAGAGAAGGGCCCCATGAAGTCATCTCTCTCCACAAAGACCCACCTCAACGATTTACATTGGTAAATATTTGTTATTGTCCCCTGTTGGTTTTAAAGGGAATCGATTTCACCACTGCACATGTTTTACGTTTGCATTTTTTCCGACTGTCAAGGGATCGATCTATCGATCTTTCACCACTGGACACGTGTTTGTCTTATTTTCCCCTTAGGCGAAACGAGAAAAGTCCACGCCCCCACGGGCTGTGCCCCCCTGCGTTTTTTTTTTTTTTTTTTTTTTTTTTTTTTTTTTTTTTTTTTTTTTTTCGCCGCTTTCTGCCGGGCGCCGGGCGGGGTTCCCGTGGGGTTTTAGCGCCTCCAGGCTGACCTCCATCATGGCCTCGGACGTGCGGGGCCCGAGGAAGTTATTTCCGGCGGCCCGGTTCGTTTTTTTCTTTTTTTTCCGGGTTTCTGCAAAGGGGTTGGGTTTTCAGGTATTCGACAGGACGACGCCCTGGTTTAGGGTGGTGGTCAAAGGGTTGGGTTTTCAGGAAAATTTGGGGAAATCTACAGGAGGACGCCTGATTTAGGGTGGTTTGGGGGGCCATTTCAGGTATATGGTCCTGTATTTCTCCAACCCTTTCAAGGTTGGACCCCTGAAACCGCTCAGCGAAGGTTCAAAATTCATTTCTTACCTCTTAAAAACACAACTTTTCTCAACTTTTTGGGGGTAACATGGGCTATATGTCTGTAAAAGATGAACTTCCCCAGGAAGTTGGGAGTTTTAAGGGGTAAGATTTAGCCAAAGATTCGCAGAGTGCGAGTTTTACACGTGGTTGGCAGGGAGTGCGATTTTTTCGCCACGCTTGCTTTTTAACAGTTTCTTGCACGACATACCCTCCCCCCCCCAAAAAAAAAAGAAACAGCGGGGCAGTTTGGTGTTACTCTCGTGCGAGCTCCCCAGCAAGGTGCACCTGTTTATCCTGGGTTCTTAAAGGGGCAAGTGAATTACCCTCACTCCCAACATGATATTCCAGGTGTTCCCACAGGTGCTATGTTGGTGGAAGGGAGGGTATAGAGTTTATCCTTGCTCCCTGAGGTCTTGGACTTGAACACATTATTTTGGGTTTGGACCATTTCAGTTGCGAAAGAAACAATCAAATCTCAGGAAGTGAGCACCTGGACCCTCAAAGTACCCTTGAAATAGCGTCGTACAACCAACGGTTCTGGTTGGTGCATTCAATCCTTGCTCCAGGGTAGTTTGAGGGTCCAGGTATATCTTCAAACTTCGGCTACAATTTTGTGGCAAACCCCAAAATCGGACTCCAATTCTTCTCTGTCTCTGTCTCTGTCTCTCTCGCTCTCTCTCTCTCTCTGTTTCTGTCTCTCACTTTTCTCTTTGTCTTCCCTTTCTCGAGCGTTGGCTACTAGAAGACGGATGCCTACAGTCGTCATTTCACTGGGGCTGCTGTGAGGGCTATGCAAGCTTTCAACCACTGTATCAGGGCTGCTCATTTGAACCGTCAAGCTTGGCGATGAACCGGCCAAAGCGAGGTTGTTTTCGGAGAACCCATTCCCTGCTGTTCGTTTCGGGACCTCCAAAGTGAAAAACTCCCCAGGCTCCCCAGGCATTCAGCAGTCCCTCATGCCCTTGATTCCAGTGCAGGGGGTCAAGTTTGTACCCCAGCAGTGTTTTTTTTTTTTTTTAAAAGTTTTTTTTGGGGGAGGGTTCCCTTACTAGAATAGACTACGGAAGAAAGGGTACCCTTATTCTAACCTCTCTACTGGAGGACCTAGTTTGTTTCCCGAGCATTTGCAGCGTTTGATTGCCTAAACAGCAGCGAGCCCAGCGAGCTCCCTAAGGCTTTCCTTGGTGTCAATCTTGTTTGCGGCGGTGGTCATAGAACTTGGGGACTCCTCCAAAGTATTCGAAATTTCCGGGTCGGTGTGGTTGCCAAGCACCGGCTTGGAGCGTTGAACATTGCGTAGTGACGATCTCTCGGTGGGCGACGACACATGGCAGCTAAGACCACAGCCAGCCTCCCCGTCGCCACCGCAAAGTTTGAGAACACACAGACAGATTGAACTCAGTAGCAAGCACGACCAAACGCGCGTGGAATCTAACGATGTAAGTTCAACCTGTCAGAAAGGCACATTTATTTCCCAGTGGCTCACACGGAGCCCAGTGCCGTTTAGCACCGCCCAACACCAAGTTCCATTTTAGTTGCTGGGACAACTGGGCGGGGGCTTTCTGGAGCTCAGGTCATCTACATGCTGAAAGACGGAACCTGTCTGGAGCAGGGCACCCATGAAGAGCTCATGGCAAGGCCGGGCGAGACCGCCGTCATCCTTCATGACTGCAGGGTTTACCCAGTGGTGACAAAGAAGGGTTCTTGCAACCAGTCTTTGTGGGGGTTGCTGGACAGGTGGCCAAGTAACAGGTCAGGGTTGGGTTTGGTCAAGTTGAACCTGCAGTCGCCACGCTGGCCAGGCAGTCGCACTACTACAACATGGCCCATTTGCAGCCGCTTGGGCGAAATGGGAAGACTGTCCCATCTCGGTAATTCTCGAAAGTTTGCCGTGATTCAGTTTTTGGTCAGCCGGCAACGAATAAGGCTTTCTCTGAAAGAGTTGGGTATGGGTCAAAATTAAGCCACCAAGATATGGACCACCTTGCTGGCAAATTTGCCAGGGCAACCCATTTGGGGGTTACCCTATTTTTGACCCACAGCCAGTTTGATAGAGGAAAGGAACCCTGGCTGAAGGAGGCCCAAGTCCGTCCGCACCTTGGCCTTTCATGACCTCAATGCGTTACACCGGAAACTTTGGTTGGGTGCGGACGTTTTTGTTGGGAGTTGGTACTCTTCTTTTTGTGGTTTTCATGAGCAAAGACAGAAGAACACCAATCCTTTGGACCTTCCCCGAGAAAAACGGCAAACCCAGTTGTTGCGCTTCTGGATGTTCAAGGCCGACACAGTGGTCATGACTGGTGCCCCCAGGTGAGCAAGAAGTCATCTTCCGTTGCTTTCTCAAGGGAATCGTTCTCGCCACTGAGACACTTTTTGGTTTTGTGGAAAACCAACAGGGAACCATCAAACCAACTATTGTATCCCATTGAGAAGCACCCATTGGACAAACAGCTTCAGCACTTGAGGGAAAAAGGTGGAGCGGCCGGGGTACTTGGATGTTCGGCCAAGTTACTAGATCGTAAGCCCCCGCCTAAGTGAGATGAGCCTTGTTAATACTGTGGATGGACGAACTCCATTTCGCACCGAAGAAATCATTGGTGATTCCCCAGCGCTAATATCAACAAGCCTTATATAATTATGGTTCTTTCCCATGGTGTCCTGTCGTGGTGCGAGGTTTCGCGGATTTCGCAACCGTCCACAGGGGCCACAGGGACCTAAGTGGCGGATCCACTTCCTATCGAGAATCGCACTCAGGCAAGCGACATTGGAGGATGAGCGCAGCCCAGATGACGCAGACACCATCCCCCAGGAGCCAGCGACGAGTGTTTCGAGGGGCTCAGGGGCTCCTCCAAGACGATGGTAGCTAGGTCCCCCAGCTAGGTGCCCGACCTCTCACCCCTTTTCAGGTTGGGAAATTTCCCTACTAAAATAGACGTCCTGAAAAAGTTGGGTACCCTTATTCTAACCCCTAGGTAAGCTTTCTCACCTGCAACCCAAGCAAATTGCCTCTATTTGACCCTTTGGATTCCGTGATCAAAAGAGCAACCTTTGCTTCTGGGTCTGGGCAAGTCAGTTTTAGGGTAGACGCAACATGAAACAGAATCAACACAAACTTTTTTGCGTGTACCCTAGATGGGCCAAGTTTCATTTGAGTCCAAAACATGGTTGTGGAACGCGTTTGATTTCTAATTGAATCCCTGCAAGGTGATGAAGTCACAGGAATCTGGGGGTAAATCAACCCCTGGTTCTTGACAAATGGGAAGCCACTCCCTACTTAGATGTTCGGCTAAATTTAGTAAGCTGTTGGGACCTACAAGTCCCCTCAAGTGGGGTTAACCCTGTCCAGGTCCCCCAGTAGTGCTTTTTTTTTTTTTTACACTTTTTTGAGAAAGGGTTCCCGTACTAAAGTAGACTACAGAAAAAAGACATGGTACCCTTATTCTAACCTCTCAAATCTGGAGGACCGAGCTGTTCTCTCTGGGTTAGCCACTTACCATGGCCGAAGATCCAAACCTTCCCCAGAATTAGCTCCCCTTTTTGCTTTTTTGCTTTTTTGGGGTCCCTTTGTTTTCCACCAACCAGGCAAGAAAGATATTGTTTGGCTGGGTCCTAATTCCAGCCAAGAAACAAACAATTTCTCGAGACTTGGAAGCAAGCCAAGAGCCAATCGGAACCTTTGGAGTTTTCATAGGGAGGGAATGGTTTGGCACCCCCGAAAGCTCCAAATACCCGTGGTTTGTGTAAGGGTATTTTTTGAATGACCGGGGTTTAGGGTGCAGTAAGTAAAGGCTTGACGGGCTTGACATCATACCCTATCATAGCTCAACAAAGTGGGCTATGTCGGATCAACTTCCCGATCCGTCTTTGGGGTGTGGTTTAAGACCCTTCTGGTTTCCCTTTGAAGCTGCCAAAAACGAGGGTACCAGCTCGGGAAAAGACACACTCATTTCAACCCATTTGAGTGGGGATGATAGGCTATGATTTGTCAACCCCTTGCTAGAGAAGAGATCATTATTTTCCCTCAAAAGAAGAGCAACGAGCCCGGGGTCGGAATGCCCGGCTTCTCGCAAAATGGCTCCAACCCCTCGGACAACATCAAATCTGGTCACAGCTGGGAGTTCGCACAGATAGCTCCAAGGGGACAAGTTCAGGTACCTTCGTAACCTCAACATGCCCTCGTTGCTAGTTGGTATGATGTCAATCCTCTAGCAAAAAGGACGTATTTACCATGGCAAACCAAGTTTTCCAAAACATACCCGAACAAAAGTGGGTGTTTGGAGCAGAGGATGCAGGTATAGGTCTGAGTAACTACTACTTGCTAGTCTGGCCGCACAAAGTAGTAAGCGGATGGCCAATTGCGTTAGGGAATCATCAGAAACCCGGGTGTCTGAAAGGTGCGAAGTGGATTCCGTCCATCCACAGTAGTTCCCCTCACCGAATCTCCTGAAAGCTGCCCCAGGAAATAATACTAGAAATATTAAAAAAAAAAAAAAAAAAAAAAAAACGAACGAGCCGATTCTGTGAAGAAACCCCATAGCTTCCAAATTCGGTGTCACAAATTCCAGACTAGACCCCCCAAAATATGGCACTTCAGTCTTACTCCTTGCTTCAAATACTCAAATCCCAATGCTTTGTGAAGGGTATGGTTGAAAAAAACCGGTTGTCCACGGTAAAATACTTTCCTTTTTGGTACAGGGTTGACATGACGCCCAAACAAAAGGCGGGTATGTGAAGGTTACGGGGGTAGTTGTGGTTCATTGACCCCTCACCCCACACCGGGATGAACACCCCTTATATAAGGTGTTCAGGGGTGTGGCGGTGAAACCTTTGGGTCTGTTTTTGCGCAGCCGCCATAAAAAATATCAACAGAGCCAATCAAACAAATAAATAAATGCATACAATAACAAACAAGTAAAGCAACACACAAATAACCAAATAGACACATGGCAACAACCTTGAAGCTGGAAAACCCGGCGGTTGAACAAGTGCGAAATATCACTTTTGTTGCTTGGGTGTCCTATTTGTGTGGTTTGTTGAGCTAAAAGTGAACAAGTTTTAGAAGAATGTGGCGACCACCCCTGACTAACCAAGGAGGCATTCCCCATTGGAAACCAGGTAGTTTCCGAAAATACCTTTAAACAAGTGGGTATTTGGAGTAGGGTCACTTTAGGCCAGAAACATACCAAAAACTCCAGGGCTTTGCTAAGTGCTTTCCTTCCTTAAGGGACATCAATGCTACTGTGGATGGACGAAACCCTGCACCACCTAAGGAACCCTGGAATGATGGTTTCCTGTAAATTCCCATAAGCAATGGTTTCCCGGATGTCGGACATCCACAGCAGCGTCACAAAATGAGCCACGTGCTCAAAACCGATTCGGGTAGATGCTTTGCCAGAATTAGTTCCCCTTTTTTATGTGTTTGCTTTTTTGGAGTCCCCTTTGCTTTCCACTGTATTTTGTGCTGGGGTGCTAATTCCAGCCAAGGAGGAAGGTTAGCAAGGCGCAGTCCCAGCCACAAGTAGTTTCGGATATCCGCCTTTCTTAATTCTTGAAGCATGGTTCTGGGTAGACCATTTTTAAAGGGGGGGGGCGTTTTGATTGTGACTCAAATGGTGTTTTCTGAATTGCGCGCAATCGGGCATGGGTGGCACAAAGCTTGATGGGAAGCGACGCACGAAGGTTCACTCAATGTGGACCATATTTTTTAGTGAGAGACATACTGTGGATGGACGAAATCCATTTCGCCCCACTTGCAAACTATGGGAAACCCAGTCTTTCTTGGTATCTACAGGGGACTCGAATCCTTCGAGGCTGTCTTTGGTGGTGCGAAATGGATTTGGTCCACAGTATTTGGCCCAGCTGGTTGGAAGGGAGCAGACACCGGAGCTGTCCGCCAACTCTTGGCCAAGAGCCAGCCCTAAGCTCTCGTTGTTCTTTTTTCGAGGTCCAGTAGTGCCCTTCTACCTTTTTTTGGGGGGGGAGGGAGGGAGGGTTCCACTGACTTAAACAAACACAAGACCGATTTCCTTCTTTTTCTGAGAATCCTATCTCGCGCACCAATTGGAGTCGGGAGTCGGGCGAAAACAAATTGCCATAGGAACACCTGGAGCTCCAGCAAATCCCCATGGCCTCGCTCAGGCCGCGAAGCGGCTGGGGGGAGTGGGGACCTGGGAGTCGGAAAATGGCGAGGAACCACCTGGAGCCTACCCTACTCCACATACCACTTGTTTTAGGGGGCATTTTTGGGGAAGACCTGCATTTTCAGGGTAAAAAAGCAAGCCAACAAGTGGAAATTGCTTTGGCGTATTGAGGGTGGTGCACTTTGCAACCCAAACTGCGGGTTTGGCTGTTCTTCCATGAAGATTTATGTTTTCCCCTGTTGATTTTTAACGGGGATCGATTTCACTCGGGTGAAACAGAAAATAGAAGTACTTAGAGGGGCGATCGATTTGCTACGTCAGGAAAGTGGCTAGTAAGCCTTTTATCCCACAGGACAGAGGCTCACTGCGATGGATTTGTGGGTTGTAACCATGTACCCGATGGCGCCTTAAAGCACCTTGAGTGCTACCTGGATCCCCGGTTGCATTTCCTTATTTTCCCAGGGTACTTTTGCTAAACTATGGGCTACTAGTGGGTAAAGTGGCTGGAAAAAAGTGGCTACTTGGGGATGCAGATATTGGGTATCGGGTCTTTAGACTGTGACTTGTTGGTTCAGATCATTTGGGTCGTCCGAATTAGACCCACCAAGCAGTTGAACCGTTGCCCACTTGCCAACATCGCAGAATCGCAGCCTGTAGCCCATCACAGGGTTCGTGGGTCATCCCGCCTAGGTCACCATTACAACCTAGGAACTGGGTCCTTCACACCCGAAGTACCCACAAACCACCCCCTGCTCCAAACACCCACTTTTTCTAGGGTATTTTTGGAAAGCCTGGGTTTTCAAGGTAAATACCTCTTTTTTTTAGTAGAGGGTCGACATGATGCCCCAAAAAATGTGGGTATTGGGTGTAAGGGGCATATGGATATTGCCAACAAAGGGCCTGGATCGCCAGTTGCGATCGCTTTTTCCCCCCATGAGCTGTACTCAAACACCGGCAGCGACTGAAAAAAGCGATCGAAACTGGGCGATTAGCGGAATTCTCGAAATTTTTTAAGGCTTAGTTGAGGGTGGCGCACAACCCAAAGCACGGGTTTAAAACCGCTGGTGGGGTTTCAGAGAGGGTTTTTCAGGCCCTTCGGTTCCTTTTGGCCCCTGCAAGTCCCAATCGATCCTGAAACCTTTCGCTGACAATTGTCTGTAGGGGTTGGTTCCCAATTCTTTTCACCCATCGTTCTTGTCAAACACCAGATCGTTCTTGTCAAACGCCAGTTGTTTTCCCAGGGTTTTTGGTGGTTTTCTAGAAGATTCGGATCCCTGGAAAGAATGGAAATGGAAGCTACCCTTAAATCTTTAGCTTTGTACCCCCCATGGCTAGCGGCTAGACCTTGAGGCGGCAGTCCACATAGCGAACCTTTCGAGGGGTAAGCCTCCACCTCTGACGGTTCCCTGTTGGCGTTACCTATAAGGTCTTTGAAAGGGTGAGCATCTACGGTCCAGGGGTAGCCAATTCAACGACTTTGCAGGAAAACATCTGGGTGTGGCTCAAAATTAAACAGGAGGGGCAAACCGCAGGTTTTGGTTGGAATTCCGGTTTTTTGAGCCACAGCCATCTAGCACCTGTTGCGTGGTGTTCCTTCGGCTTTTCAAGTGGTGTTTACTTGGTTAGTGGTGGCTTGGGCTCCAGCGAGCCCCAAACTGCCACTAACCAACGAACTGCCTGGATCGCCCGTTGCCATCGCTTTTTTCCATGGACTTCATTCTAAAAACCAGCAACAGTGACCGAAAAAAGCGATCGCAACTTGGCTATCTAGGTAGCGTGCCCTACAGCAGCAGAGAGATTAAATCGTCGTTTCCATTTCACAAGCACAGCTTTCAACTTGGATCTGAGGACTGCGGCTCATGGCTCAGATGTCAATTTTTCGGTGATCAGGGGCTGATGGATTCGGATCCGTTTTCAGCATCGGACATGAGAAGTCGGTGAAAGCCCCAGTCTTCCTGAAAACCGCTGGATGTCCCGGGCAGGGACCTGGGAAAAAGGGCTAGACGAATGTACGAATGGCTCACTCCCTGAGCCTTATGGACTCAAGCCAACCATTTTTTGGGGCTTGGCCAATCTGTGTGGTAATGCAACAACCTTGATCGCCAGGCAAGCGATCCCTTTTGTCCATGGTTTGTTTGCCTCAAAAAGCCGATCGCAACAGTGACTGACAAACGCGATCGCAACTTGGCGATCTAGGAAGTGTTCAGACCTTTTCAGGCCAGTCCGCAAAGAAAGTGAGCTTCCTGCTGCAATACTCACACAACTTGGGCCCCGGAAGCCGAACGCAAAGAGCACACAGCTAGATAAATTGCTTAGTTGTTGTTTAAACAAAAAGCTTGCCGGATGTAAAGGGTACAGGGTAAGTGCTGTAAGTCGTCCCGGGTTGATCTAAGTCGTCCCGGGTGAGTGTGCCCGTTGTGTTTGTGGATGTAAGGATAGTTGTCTCGAGTCTCAAGCATGTAATTTTCTGAAATCGCACAATTCTGCGCTGTGCGCATGCAAAATGTATGATGTTCTACTCGAGGTATCCTGACAGAAAGGTGCCCATGAGATCCCAGATTCATAACATCAACATTTGGTCGGCTTCCATGTGCCGCGTGCATGCGTGTATGTTCACTGCCACTTCATTGGGATGAGGGCACGGCTCACCCGGCGCTGGCAGCCCTTTTGTCGGGTGTTCCGGCCCGGAACCGGTTGTTTTTGACTAGCCCTGGCTTGGCTTAGCCCTGGCCGGGGGGCTGGCTGGTTGGTCCGGTTACTTGGTGTCAGGAATGCTTTTGAACGCTTTGGCCTTGGGGGAACCAACAGAAAACACAATTTATGTTTGAAGGATAGGAACCCTTTAATTGCAGTGTGCCCAATAGGGTTTTGCCTGGGAAAAGCATTCAACATCAACCCAAACCAGTGAGTTTTGAGCATGTGCGTGCAGTGTGCGGTGAATTCTTGGGGTTGGCAACATCGCCCTTCCAGTTCTGTGCCCATTGCGTTTTGCAAAAAATGGGGTGACTTAAAACGCATGGGGTGACTTAAACGGATATGCGTAGTTCCAAGCGGCTGGGGATGGATGGGGTGACTTAACGCGACGTGGGGTGACTTACGACGCCCGCTTGTATCTATCGCTACTGGATCTCTTTTTTTTTCCCAGGCTGAAGTAAATTGAAGGTTCGCTTGGGAGACAGCTCCGGTTGAAGGCAGGTGAACCGCGAATGTCGCGCCCCGATTCCGAGAAGGGGACACTCTCCGATCAGAATCAACCACTTAAAGCGGCGAACGATTCATTATGTCAGGTAAGTGGTTAGTAAGCCTGGTTATGGGCCACTGAACGGAGACTTATAGCCCTGGCTTTTGTGAGTCGTAACCATGGTTGCAAAGTACCCTGCCCCTTTGAGCAGGGTTTCTGCTTAACCCTTTGGAGTTTTCCTTCTGCGCGACTGATGTTGACGCTGCGTTTTCCAGGCGCTTGTTTATGCATGGGGTCTATGTGGGGGAACCACTCACTCCCCTATCAATTTGTCAGGCTTCTTAGTTACTTCGGGTGGACATTGCAAGCCCTCACCATTTAGCCCTTGGTTGAATCCTCCTTTTGGAACTTGAGGCGGCCATTTACCGATGCCATCGCAAGCGCCAAGCAACCATTGCTTATGAATGGACCTTCTTGACAGAGCATTGCAGATTGTTGTTTCAGGGTCCAGGCTATCAGCCAATCCTCAACGCTGGTGGAGGGAGCCAGAGGAACTTCGCACCCTTGCAGTTGGTTCTCCTTAGTTCTGCAACAGCTATTGTGATAATTACCCTAAAACAAGGTGGGTAATGTCAACCCCGGATTAATAAACCCCTGGTTGAAGGGGGTGTCCCCTTTTAGTGGGGATTCAGACCACTTTTGGACGCGACATGGAAGTGAACTTGTGCCCTGTTCAGCTTCCCGTGTCCATCTTGCTTGCCTCGCTTGCTTTACTAATGGGGTCTCCGGATGAAGCGAACCCCCTGGTTGATTGGTAGGCGGGTGCACAAATGCGGGGTATGCGGTTTGAAGCATTGTGCTAGTTGACGAACAGCCTCTCTCCACGCCACGCTGCTTTTTCCGACTGAAAGTCATGCGTCCAGAGCGGGGTGCTGCATCTCCACGGCCACGCGAGTCATCAGAACAAGCATGGGTGGTCTGGCCTTTGTTGCTTTACCAGTAGGGCTGCTGAGGGGCCGCGCTTGTGGACAGGACCGCGTAGCGCAGGCAATTGCAGCCACGCGGGTTCCGCGACGTTTTGTTTTGTGTTCACCACCGCCCTCTCAGTTGTTTGCTTTTTACGCGTCTGTTGCTTTTGGCCGGGGGTGGGCTATTGCATTCCATCCGGGGCTCAGTAGAGAGATGAAAAGCTGGCTAAACTTCTACCCTGCCGCAGTCCCATCGGCCCCGCGCAGGAGCTCTGGTACAGGAGTCACTGTGATGTCCAGCCCACGGAAGCAGAGCCCCGGTCAAGACATAGTCGGGCTTAGCTAGCTTTCTCGATTTGTTGACATCCCCCGTCCCCCACGCGCCGAGGATGAAACATGTGAGCACCGCCTTTTCCCTCTGGTCCGTCCCCAAGGAGCAGGTGCGGAGCAATTCGTCGCGAAACAAAGGCTTGGGGCAATGCCAATCACTTCCTCCCCCTTCTCCAACACCAAATTTTGTTCAGCGTACCTTTGGGCACTAGTGGTAAAGGGGCGGGAAAAAGTAGCTACTTGGGGTTCCAGGCAGAAGTTTAGTTGGCAACAACCTCCCAACTTTTATGGGTAGTTTGAGGGTTCAGGTGGAAATTTTGAGGGTAGTTCGAGGGTTCAGGTGGAAACGACGGGTTTATCGTTTGGGACCTTGACGAAAAATGGCGGCGGGTTCTACTTAGATCGGCTCAACGTGAAGGCGTTCTGAGAAAGATTTGCCGTGGGCGTGCCTTCTTGTTTTACCACTCTACTCCAACTACTCTTTTGTGGGAATCATGTCAATCGCAGGTATTTACCATTTGAAAGCCGGGCGTTAAAATAGTCAAAAAAGCGCGTGGTTGGAGGTGCAGCCCCCAAAACGGTCGCCCAGCCCTTGACTGCAGAAATCGAGACCTGGCTGCCGGCGGAGTTCTCCCGGCGGCCAAAGTTGCGGAGGCGACGGACACGTTGCGCCAAGCCATCCAAGCGATCCCGGCCGGCTTGCGGACGTGCTATGGTCGCCCCTCCCCGCCGGCGGTCTACGAAGGACCAAGTTGCGAAGACGGTCTACTTGGCGAGCCGGTGCCTCTATATATCAGGCTTTGACCGCGCGATCTCAAATACTCATGTTGAGTACACAGCCAGATGCAATCAGTTTAGTCCTATTTCTTTTTTCCCGGGTCTCCAAACCCATACTATTCCACGTTTTAGGCTAGGCGAAATATGGACCTGAAGCAAGATATTATTTCTGTGTTCCCATAACCCAAGGATGGTTCGAAGCTCGCCGAACAAAGCTTCCGGCTTGACGTGGGCAGGAGGGTAAGTTCTAGTTGTCCGAGACACCCTTGCTAAGCTGCTTATAGGGTGTCGATGGACGAAACCTGCGCCACTTGGAAATCACTGTTGAAACCGTTGCCCGTTGGCAATCATTCCAGCACGGTGGTGCCAAATCGGTTTCGTCAGATCCGGGGGATGCTTGGGCCAACCTACTCCAACGGCTAATTTTCCTTCCCTGGAGAACTTAACGAATGTCGTTCCTCCATTTGGTGGGAGGCGTTTTATACGCGCCTTTGGCCTTTGTGTGGGAATCCCTTCAACATCAACCAACGCACTCTGCCAACAAAAGGGGTGTCACATAGTCATTATGGATAAAGTTTCACCAGCTTGGGCCAAGTCATCCCGGCATCACTGCCCATATGATTGGCACCATGTCTTCCCAAGGTCTGAGTTTACACAACTTCCTCAAATTCCTCTTGGATTTGGCCCGACAACCAAAAATCGGCAAACCTCTTAAAAAGGGCGTAATCACCAAATTTTATACCCCGCTACAGCCATGCTTCTAAATTATCTCTCCTACTGACCACATGGACCCTCAAATTAACTTGAACATTGCGCCGTTGCCTTAAAAGTAACGAAAGTAATGGTTGGTTTCCCATTTGTAAGGGCAGTTTCAGGGTCCAGGCACTTCCCTGACGTACCCAATCGCGCCTTTAACTACCACGCCTCCCTGACATACCCAATCGCCCCCTGCAAGGATAATCCTCGAACTTGCGTGTTTTTGCACCCTGCTCCTTTAAGGACAATCCTCGAATTTGCTTGCTTTTTCGGTTCGGCCCAACCACAAAAAATCGGCCAACCCGCCCTGTGACGGTTTTTTTTCTCCCCCGCCGCGGGGCGCCGCCCCGCGGCCCGCTCGGACGTGTTCAGTTCGAAGCGGCGGCGTCGGTGGCGGCACCGGCGAAGGGCGCCGCGAAGCTCAGTGCGGTTTGTCGGTGGATGTTCGGCTCGGGGGTTGGGGTTGGCTCACTTGGACACCCCCCCTAAAAACACTGGGGTTGATGAAACTTACCCCAATGGAGGATTTCGGCTCGGGCCCAGTCGAACTTTTTGGTGGATCTCCTGGACCCCAACGCCCCCTTTGGGACCCCGATCTCTTTTTTGCCTTACCCCCTTTTTGTTGGGTCAAAGGCAGAAAAAAGGAATCGGTCCTTTGGGGGTCCAGGTTAGGAACAACAGGATTAACTGTACAGGGAACTCGGATGTCCAGTTGCAACCAGTGGATTTTGCTCTCTTTTTTTGCATTCCTTGTTTTTGGGGGAAGGGTTCGGATCCCTTGAAAGTCAAGCAAGCAAAAAAAGCGGATACCCTTTTTTACCCATGGCCACTGGGCATCTGAGCCCAGGTACAACAGGATAAACCCCACAGAGAACTTATAACCAACAACTTTGAAACTTGGCCGAACACCAAGGACCCAAGCAGGTTGACCCCACATTAATCAGCCAACCAGTTTGTGATAATAGGGGGTTACTGGACGAAATGCAGGGAATCAGACCCGTTTTGGGGTCAACATCAATCACCTGGATGTTCTGGGGGACTGGACAAGTTCTCGTAACAATGTGTGTTTTGGCCCAGCGATATACTGGGAACATCTGGGAAACATAGAATACTTGGATGTTCGTTGCCAAGAAACCGCAGCTTGGGGTCCCGGTAACAACAGGATTCACCCCAAATGAATAGCTTACCAACAACTTAGTAACTTGGCCGAACATCCAAGCAGGTTCCTTGGAATTTTGACTCCAATATGAATCAACCAACCAAGTTATGATATCAGGGGTGTCCCTGCATAACATGTACTTTTGGAGAATACTCGTGTATTGATAAGCTGAGGTCAACATTAAACGCTTCCATTTACACAAGGCGAATGGACCTTTTAACATGTTGGTTTCCCCATGTTTGTCCAATTTTAGTCATGATCCCAAACGGTTAACTTTCTGTTTCTGGGTCCTTTTGCCAACTAAGAAATACTCCGCTACAGATTAACATGGAACCAGGGGCAACTTCCAAAAGGGGGGATTTGTTCTGTCATGTTGGTCCAGGGGACGAAACAAGCAAATGGAGAAATGGACACCCAGACACCCGGTGGTGACCCTTGTTTCCCTTGTTTCAAAAAGAAGTTTCCCCTTGAAGGTCAAACTGCTTGACCTTTTGATTCAGTTGCCCAAAGCGAATCAACCTTTTGACCTGTTGGTTTTCAAGGTGTTTAAACATATATATATATATATATAATGATAGTCTGAGGGGAGAAGCAGGGAACCCTAGCACAGGGGACCTTTGGCTTTCCAATTTTCTTGCTGCGAGGAGCAGGGAATGTCCAAGCCTGGGTTTTGGGGATGAACCGTTTGGGGTGTCCGTCACGGGAAGCCACAAAGGAGGGCTTAAAGGCGCGGTTCTATGTCTCACCCCCCCCAGTGGTGCCCCTTTTCCAACTTTTTTTTGGGGATTGGTTTCCCTTTAAAGTCCACCAACCCGAAAAAGGAGGCCTTTCTCTTCGTATACGGCCACTGGGCATTTGAGTATATGTCGTGATGGCCTCAAAGGGCGATCAGCTTTTATGTGGCCCAAGCTGGGCAAGTGAGTGTGCTGTTCGTTGTTGCCCCAAGTTTGGTCATGGCAGAAGTGTTCACTGGCAGGGTTCCCCATTTTCCCCTTTCGGTGGTCCTTAACATCGCCTTCTCTTGGGGAACCCTGTTGGCTTCTTGATGTGGTAAAGCTGCGTCTCGCTCCCTAGACTTTAGTCACTTCTTTGGGTTTGGACCGCTTTGGTACTTTAGCTCACTTGCCCATGGCGAATCAACTTTGGGCGTAATTGAGTCAAGTTTCCAACTGGTCAGCCTTTTGCTTCCTGCCAATCCACCCAGGAAGTGAGAAGAAGTTCCGGATATATGTTTTTTTGTGAAAAGCCATGCCAGTTCTTGGGGGCACCGCCTGTTAGCTTCCGGAGCCCGTGAATTTTTTTCAGGCAGGCGGTTCTTTTGGTTTGCCTTGAGGTTTCAGCTTCTGCGACCTTCTGGTTTCACTGCGCCAAAACAAGATTAAGAACCCGCCTCCAGATACCAACTGTAACCACGCCCGTTGCGATCGCTGTTGTCCATGAACTTTACCCCAAAAACCCAGCAACAGTGACTAAAAAAAGCGCTCGCAACTTGGCGATCTAGGCAGGGCGTTTCCTTCCCATCGGACACCCCGAGCCCCCGTTTCCCCGGGAGTTCCTCACGCGAGGTGTTCTGCCGTCTCTTCCACCTCGCAAGGCAAGTGCGGAGGGTCTCTAAGAGCTGCCAGGGCCCTGAAACCGCATTTTATTTTTAAAGAAAGATGGAAGCTCCCCCCATCTCAGTTGCAGACGAGTTGATGCCACACATCTCCCTTTCTCCCAACATTTGCTGAGCCAAAAGGCTAAAGCCTAAAGCGCATCTCCAGTGGAATTGGCCATTTGTTTTCGGTGTGAGCAAGTTCGCTTGAAGATTGAAACGTATTCTTAGGGCCTTGCCCCGCTTTTTTTGCGCCCTCCCAATTCGCCACTGAACTCTGGAAGCCTTCCCCTTTGGTCTGCCAATTAAGAGGGGGTTCCTCAGAACCCCCCCCCCCCCCCAACTGCTTTTTGGATACTTGGAATTTTGGTTGGGGGGGTGCTGGTTGCGTTTTTTTGTTTGTCAAATATCGGTTTGGCTGCTGAAACAATTCGGGATTCCAAGCAATTGCTCATTCCCTGAGCTCCTGGACTGTAATTTTTTGGGACGACAATTTCGGCGGGAAATAACAGTTCAGACTCTGTGTGGCCAGAACTGAGTTTGCTTTTTTTTTTTTTGTGCCCAGAGGCTCCCGGCTTCGGCTTTCAATGGAAGACCCGACGCCGCTTCGGTGGTTGGTCTCAAACCAGGTCGTAAGGCACTACATCAATCGAATTGGGTTCCAAAAAACCGTCCAACACCCTGGGGAAACAGCGATCGGTTTTTGAAAAGAACGATGGTTGAAAAGAATGGGGAATCACGCCCTAGAAGTTTGACAACCCCCCCCCCCAAAAAAAAAATAGTTGGGGGTCTCAAAACCAGGTTGTTTGAAGGCCCTAAAAAAGTTGGTACCCTTTTCTAACCTCTCGACTGCAGGACCTAGCAACAGTTCAGACTTTGTGTGGCCAGAATTGAGTTTGCGGTGCGTGTTTTGGTGACAAACATGGTGAGAGGCCGGACTGGATCATCATGCCCTTCGCTTTCCTAGCGGTGCTGCTGGCCTCGGTGATGACGCCGGCGCAGGCCTTCTTCTTCAACCAGGCGCGGTTGGGGTTGGAGGTTGGGGGGAGGACTTGGGGAGGTTGGGGGGAGGTTGGGGTTGGAGGTGGGGAGGTTGGGGGGGAGGTTGGGTACTTGGGGGTAGATTGGGGGTAGGTTGGGGGTAATTCACCCCGGATTAATAGACCCTGTGTATTAGTATGGGGGTGTTCCCCTCCAAAAGTGATGAATCCCCACTAAAACCAGCGAGACCCCCATATTAGCAAACAGGGCTTTTTTAATCCGGGGTCACCATTAGATTGAATCATTGGGGATGTGAGGGGGAGACTGCTGGAAAGTTCAACTGGCACGAAAACTTGGGCTTGGCCTCCTTCAAAAATCCACTTGGCCAACATAAGGCCCCATTACTTGCTTGGCGCCCTCAACCCACGGAAGGAATGAAAAACTGCTCTGGCAACTGTCCGCTCAGATTGCCTTTACCTCCCACAACGCAGGGAGGACCTGTTTCATGACCGCCCTAAGAATTCCTCCTACACCCAATACCCACTTTTTTCAGGGTATGATGTCGGCCCTAAAATTCCCTAGAAAAAGTGGGTATCTGGAGTAGGAGAACTGCCTTTCAGCACCTCAAGCCTTCAGCTACAAACAACAACTCCCACCTGGATCCCCAAGTAGCCACTTTTTTTAGCCACTTTACCTACTAGTAGCCCGTATTTTGAGGCAAAAGTAGCTGGAAACTAAAGAAAGGTAACTGGGGATCCAGGTAGCACTCAAGGTACTTCGCGGCGAAATCGATCGGGAACCTAGATGGATACAACCCACAAATCCATGGCTAAAGTCATAGAAGCCAGCCACAGGAAATTCTACAGGAAGTTCGCCAAATACCCCCCAAAATCCGGGATTTCCTGTGGAATTTCCTGTAGTTGGTTTCTTAGACAAAGGGAACTGGGGATCCAGGCACGCGCCAAACAAACAAACAAAAAAAAAAAACGCGGCACGCGGCACATGTTGCGAGGGGATCATCAGCCTCTACGAGGTCGACGAGGAAGGCTTGGAACTTCTGGACAAGGCGCGGCGCTTCGGATGTTTCCGTGGATTTTTTTTGGGTTGAGTACCCTCCCTCCAGCTAACATGGCAACCGACGGGGGCTCCCTTCAAAAGGAAATGAATCTTCCAGGTACCTCCCCACAAGTGCTATGTTAGTTGCAGGAAGGGTCGGGTTCCGTCCCCACCTCCAAAGACCAACGTGCTTTTTGTGGTTGTTTTGTCGGCATTTGGAAGCCCGATTTGTTTTGGTCGTTTTGTCGGCATTGGTTTGGAAACCCGACCAAAAAAAAGCGCCAAACAACTGGTTTTGCATGGTAATGGCCACATTTGGAGTAAAGGGTTGTCATCATACCAGGAACACCATGGGGTATTGTGTGTAGTGGGCTGGGCAAGTCAGCCCGTACTCACTTGCCTGGTGGTTTGACCCTTGAAACTTGTTGGATTGGCTTGGGGATTTGAAGAGGACCCGCAGTACTGGGTACCCGTGTCCTCCAACGACCCGCAAAGTGAAGGGCCCCTCTTGATGTTGCTTGTTTCAATCGGGCTGCCTTGTGTGAGCGTTTTTTTTCCCCCCCCGTTAGTAGGGTCTCCATTAGGTTGACCCTTCATACTTTCATAAAGTACCAATCGAATGGAAAATCCGCCAAAGACAAGTGCAATTCTGAGTGGAAGATCAAGGGTTGGCAGTTCAGCCCTCACTTGCCACCAAAGCGAATCCAACTTTTTCGGTTCCAAGAGGGTAGCCTTTAGTTTCTGGGTGGTTCAGGTAGCCGATGTGAAGCCAGGCCGCCAGGGCCGCTTTTTGGACAAATTCCGAACTCCCAGAGAACGATGCCCTCTTTTCCTACGGCCACTGGGCATCTGAGATTTGCCAACCGGGTTGGCCTTCCTGCATGTTCTTCGCATTGATCCGTTTTTTTCCCTGCATCTCAGGGGTAAGCCCCTTTTAGACCTTGCGGTTTCCCCATTTTGATCTATGTTCGGTTTGAAAAGGTTATCTTCTTATTGCTGACCCCTGAAGGAAGCTTTCTCGTACTATTCGGGGGGGTCCCTTTTTAGTGCACCGGTGTTTTATGTTCCGAAGTGCCACCTGGCAAGGATACGGAGAACTTCCCATTTGCGTTTCAGAATGTGGATCGTAGTTTCCCACTGGTGCTACATCGAAATGGGAATTGATTCTTTACTGGAAATCGATGAGAAGAACAATATTGTTATTCGGAGTGTTGGTGTTAGAGGGAATCGATTCTCTACTGGAAATAGATGTTCTCATTTTTTCCCAGAAAGCGAAAACGCAAATGGACGTCAATGACGGGGACCAATCAGCCCAATCGGCCATAGGAGTCTGGACCATCACAGGTTGGCTCGGAAACCTCCGGACGTTGGGGGTAGGCAAAAGGGGGGGGAGCCGCATCTTGCCATGTCCCACGAGGCGGCTTTCCTTTTTCCAAGCCCAGGAGCCTCCTCACAAAGACATGAACCCCTTAAACAGGAACTTTCACCCTAAACATGTTGGGGCCAGGGTTCCACTTGTTGACTACCCCAAGAAGGGGTTCTCGTTTTATGAAGGAATGAATCACCCGCCCTAGGGTAGTCAACAAGTAGAACCCCGTTGAGGCAATAGCAACCACCTGGATCGCCAGTTGCGATCGCTTTTTGCCACGAAGTTTACCCCAAAAACCAGCAACAGGCACTGAAAAAGCGATCGGCAGCTTTTGGATGTCTTCGTTGGGTCCAGGCGCCCATCTTTCGACCGCTTGACTCACCCAAACCTCCCGCGCTTTTCGGCCGCTCGAGCCGCTCGCTCGAGCCGTAGGCGTGTTTGGGCCTGGCGCTGGTGGGCCTCGCATCTGGGGCCTCCGTGCTGATCCAGAACGGGGTCTTCACCTACATGCCCCCGGGATGGAAATCCAACCCAGGCCCTTCCAGTTGTATAACTATAGGTTGTCCAGTAGTGCCTATTTTCACCAACGCACAATGGCTTCATCCATGGTTTCCAAGTGGTTTCCAAGTGGTTTCCAAGTGGTTTCCAAGTGGTTTCCAAGTGGTTTCCAAGTTTTGGGGTCTCCCCCAGTTGACTGCTATTGGGCAACGGATCTTTAGACTTTAACCTTTTGGTATCAAGTTGGGTTTTCCACTAGAGCTCCAAAAAGTGAAACTCACTTTTTGCAGGGGGGTCGTTACAGCAACCAAGCCCCTGGGATGGAAATCCAACCCCAGCGCTTCCAGCTGCATAATGTGGACCCGGGGGAGTTCCCGGTGGGGAGTCATGACTTCTGGAGGGGAACACCCCCCTATGAATAGAATTGAATTGATTAACACGGAGGTAACATTTTGCCCTATTCCAAATACCGACTTGTTTCAGGGTATGATGTCGACCCTTTACTAAAAAGGGGATGGATATTTCCCATGGAAAACCGGGTTTCCCCAAACCACCCTAAAACAAGTGGGTATTTTTGGAGTTTAAGCAGGGAAACCGTCAATGGTAAAACCGAAAGCGAAGGAACCCTTACCTTCGATAGTGGCAACCCCCTATTTGCTTCAGAATATGTCCCCCCATCCCCCGCGTTGGTTTCAGGTAACCGGATCGGCTTGGGGATTTGAACCCCATGTTCTGGTAGAGGGTACCCCCTCTTCCAAATACTCGCTTTTCGGGAAAGCCTGGCTTTCCAAGGTAAATTCCTCCTTTTTTAGTAGAGGGTCGGCATGATACCCTGAAAAAAGAGGGTATTTGGAGAAGGGGGTATATGGGCGTGTCTCAAACCAGGCGACCCCAGCTTACTTGCAACCAAAGCGAATCGACCGTTTAACCTGTTTGATTCCCTTTTGGTCCATGCTTGGACCCCAGGAGGTGAACTGTTTCTGTCCAAATACCCGCTTTTTCGTGAATCAGGATGCAACCTTTTGGCTTCCCTGAGTTGAGCCATATTTCGTCAGGCGCCAAAAGGTGAACCTTTTTTCCAGGTCCTTTGGGCAAGCGAGTCTTGAAATCCGGGCGTAGCAAAAAAAATGTATGATTTTGAAGAGTTGGAACCGCCTCAATAGTGGTTGGTGGCCATAGTTTACTTTACAGATGCTCTTCACCAAAGGGCCCCCCAAAAAACATCATGCCCATATACCGGTTTCTATTTTCCAGCTTCTTTAGTTTGGTTGAAACATTGATGGCCCTGGTTTACCTGATGTTTCAATCATCTACCAGGGCCATCTATTTTCCAAAAAGGACACCTATGGCTGTGTACATGTCCGTGCATCTCTTTTGTGCTCTTTTGGGGACCCCCGTCTGGCCCAATTGGTACTGCGGCTTTTTGGGGGCAAAACCCAATAGAAGACAGTGGTGGATATTCCCGGGTAGACTACAAACAAAACAAGGTCAGAAAATACAGGACATCGATTTGTTTTTGCACCTGGACCCTCAAGCTACCCTTGAAAAATGTGGCATGTCCCCCATCATTTTAGTTGGCAATACCTCAATTTGTTTGGGTAGTTTGAGGGAATTCCATTTGTAGATCAATTTGCCGTTTCGTGTTGAATCCTACCCCCCCCCCCTTTCCGGTAGGTTCAGGTACTGTACCCCTTTCAGAGGGCCCAAATTGCAAGCTGAGGCAAGAGAGCTTGGTGCTGACCCTGCGCAAGAGGGCCTTTGCCAGCACCATCTGCCGCTGGGCCAATCTGATAGTCCCGGTGGTTTCCCCAGCCGCCGGTGGTTCTCCAAATATGGAAGTTTGGAGGGGGTAGGGTCTCAGGATGAGGGTTAACCCTAACTGAACAAGGGGACTTGTAAGTGGGTAGCCTGGATTACCAACCGTGACCTCCAAATACCCAGCCTTTTTTTTGGGATGTCAACTCTTTGCAAGGGAAGGGGAGGTATTGACCATGGAAACCCAGGCTTTCCACCAACTGCCAGCCGAGCAGAGCGCCACCCTACTCCAAATACCCAGCTTGTTTCAGTTGGCATCAGTCAACCCTTCACAGGGAGGTATTTGCCGTGGAAGCCGATCGGCTTTCAACCCACAACTACCCCTTACAAGTACCCATTTGTTCAGGGTATTTTTTGGAAAGCCGATCGGTTTTCCATGATAAACGACAAACCTTTTTTAGTAGAGGGTCGACATGAACTGAAAAAAGCTGCGGTATTGGGGGCTTTCGGGGGTACGCCGAGGCATGGACATGTCCTTCTTCGACGCCCCAGAGAACCAGGTCGCCAGCATCCTGGTGTCCTTGGAGAG